AGGTTTAATCACAACTAACATGGAAGAGCTCACTCTGGTGAACAATAATAAACAGATAGGTTTGTTCCTTAAAACCCTACATTAAAAAAAAAGATTGACGTATATCAAAAGTTTGTCTAAAAAAAAAAAGTAGAACCAAGTAGAATAATCTTTTTCTTTTTTTACCTATGTCCCAAGATTAAACACAAGGCAGTTGACTCTGAATAAGCCAAAAGAAATGTCAACACAATGACCACATGACTCATGTTTACCCCTGAAACTCCACCATTTCTTCTGCCATATCATTCCTCTACAAAGGTTCGCAAAGAAACTTCATAAAAATGTGATATCAGGAAACTCCTATATGAGATGTCATTTATGAAAGCAGATTTGCTGTGGGATGTAAATCCATGTTCCGTTTTAGCCAACAGAATGACAATGCTCCATGAAAGCGCATGTTGAAAATAAAGTTATATGTTGAAATGAGGCTGCAAACTTACGATCAGACTGCTCAGGAGTCAGGACCAGGACAGTGACCTTGGTGGAGTCCGACTGGCCAATTGTGTCTGTGACGGTCAGCTGGAACTTGTACACCCCAGATGTCAGATTGGATACAGTAATCGCGTCGTCAAAGTTGCTATCCTAAGAGGAATTAAATGAACAGTGTTCATACACACATATGAAGCTTGCTGAAAGATTTTCAATACAGTGACAAAAATAAATAAAAAGCATATTAGAGGAGATTTCATTTCCATAAACTCTAAGAAATAACTTAATTAGGATCAGGTATGCTTTGAAGTTTCTTTATTTACCTCAAAGACAGCATGAGGGTATCCAGTGAGCATTTTCCACTGAAGGAAGCAATCCCATTGTCATCTTTGCTGTTCATACCGTTCAGTGTAACAGTGTCCTGAGGCTGGACCACCCGGTCCGGACCTCCGTTTGCAATGGGTGGACGGTCCGATTCATCTAGAGAGACATTGCAACAATTATGTATATCACATAAACAAGCTCTACAGTCGAATTTGTGCTTTATTTGTGAATAAAAGTGACAGCTCCAAATACAATGGGAACTCATTGGCATTCAGAGGGGGAACAGAAACCTTAACCAGGGGCCATAATTGTCCTGCGTGTGTGAACATGCTGAATTTTAAAGGTTTCTGCCCCAAATCGGTTGCCTCAGTAGTCCTGATTACAAACTGTGTCTTCACACAACAAACAGAGGCATTAAGAAATCAGTTATTGGACCTTTCCTGAGTTCACAAGACAAAAAGATTATTAAACTATCCAGATACAGGTCAAGTGGAGGGCTTTTTAGATTTGTTGATGACGTTAACCCAAACCAATAGTGCAGGTTATAATTCATTGTTCAGTATCAGTTACCAAAGTGTTCCCACAGGTAAGTGTCCCTTATCAAAGGGCTGCAAAACTGTACAATGCATCTCTTAATAGAGCTTAGATGCAATACAAACACCTGGACATTAAATGCATTGAAAGGTTTGTTTTCTTACTTGGGGGAAGATCCACTTTAAGATAGCTCTCATAAACAGAGTCCAGGACGTAACTGATGTATCCCTTCTTCTTGACAAAGCGGCATGCGTATTTCTGTTTGTACAGACAGTCAAACAGAAAGCAGGATTTGACCTGGCCCGCTTCGGCTGCTTCCTCCATGACGGCGACGTTGCACCTGGGCTCCTTGCAGCATGCGCTCACGCAGTCCCTGTATCGAGTCAGTGTCGGGGACGAAATGAAGGTCGCCCCGTCTTTTACTGACTCATCGGCATCGAGAATAAAATCCGCCTGACCCGGTTTAAACTTAGCCAGACATTCATCCCCGACCTCCTGGCATAGGGAGCAGTCCAGCAGCAACATCAGGAGCAGCACAGACGCTCCATATTGTCCCTTAAGGAGGGAAAACATTTTAAAAGTCTTCTTTATATTTCCACGCCAATCAAATCAAAGATCAGAACGGGGATGGCTGTGGGGTCAGAAGAAAATAGAAGTTCGGCGTGATATTTAAGTTAACTAGTTCCAGTTGTGCGTAGGCCCCAAAAACAACGTCCTCTTTCGTCTCACAGGTAAAACTTCCGTTCAAGTACAAAAATAAAGAGAAATACAACTCCTGACTTCCTGCTCTGCACACAGAATTGAATCAAAACGTCCACACGAATCTGTTCCTTTCCAATTGTGAAACTCTCATGACAGATTCCTTCGTTTGATACCGACAAAAACCTGAGCTGTCGACGACATGTCCCAGGTGAGTCACCTGAGAGAGATACAGGAAGTGAAATTCCACTCCTGCCTTGCCACTCCCTTCTACTGTTATGTGACGGGGGGCCCCAAACACAACAGGGACACAGATTTCTCGTGTTTTGAGACATTGTGACTGGGGAAATGCCCTTTTGTGCTGCTTCCGCAAACACACAAGTTTTTTTTTTTTTTTAATCTTTCTCTATTCTTTCGTAATCGCACTCATACAAAATAGTTGTAAATGTTAAAAAAATATTGGCTATATGACGAGGAATTATTATGATAAACATGATTATTACGAGTAGGCTATTAGTAGCCTATATTAAGTGTTAAGCCTACAGCCACAACCAAAGGCATAACAAAACATAAAAACAAAGACATTACAGACTATAGTCACAAGAATCCGAATTATTGTACAAAGTACCATAATAAAAAAACAAAGAAGTCTACAGAGGATCTACTGTGTAATTTTAAAGTTACAATACGGTCCAACCTCTATTTATTTCAACAAGGGAGAGTGTGTATAGTCAGACTCTTTATAAGAGGATTTTTTTCTTCCCATACAAAATAACCTTTTTTATCTCTTTTTTGGTGGTATGCATGTGCATGTTTCGGAAATACCTCTGTTATTGGGCTCCTAAAATTGGAGCCAATTTTTAGAACTGGATTGACATTAAAAATGAGCAATAACCTTTCTTACTTTCAAACGAGTCATTATGGATTTCTCCCATGACGACAAAATGAAGTGTTCTAAATAAATAAATAAATAAATAAATACAGCCACTAGAGGATAATCACAATCAGTAACGTAAAGAAATAGGTGATTTAAAACAGTGAATAGGCCTACAAAAGTCTCATCAGATACAATGAAATAATGTTGAATTTGAAATGTAATGTAATGTGAAATGTGAAAACAAAGCATTTAATTTTGACATACATTAAAAAATTATATTTATCATAACTACTTTCTGACTGTTTAAAAATAATAAGTTAATTGTATTTGTATCACCTTTTTTTTTTTTAAATCTTCGTGGTTCTGAGTGACATCATCAAATCAATCATGAATAAAAAAAGCCCTAATACGACATTAATTGTGTTTTTAAAAATGTGTTAGATGCTAATACAAATAAAGCGTATTAACAAGAGTTGAAGAGTTAAAAAAAAATAGAAGGTGATGCTCAAATGGCATTAACTCAGTAAATCTGTTAAATTAATGTTTTAAGGCAGGGTTATAAGGTATAGTTTTTACTGCATACAGAAATTGTCAAATCTTTCCTTCTCCTTGATTTAGTCCTTCAGCTTTAATCCACAAGATGGCAGTGTGACCCCATCTAACGCTGAACTGCTGATTCATTTTTTCTCAAAGCACTGTGAAAAAGACACTTTTTTGGCTTGTTTTTATTCCCATCAAATAATTAACATGACCTACATTTAAACTAACATGATTCCCAATGTTTCCTCATTTTCACAATTGTAGTGATACTGAGGTGATTCAGGGCCTTAGTGACTCATTTCCAATCTGTGATGAGTCATTAAACCACCTTTGAAGACAAAAGTTCTGGAGTCTGGAGTAATAGGAAGTGGTCGCTCATATTAAGTAATGAAGATGGTTGGTTAAGTGTTGTAGACTGAATCATACTTTCAGGCAAATTTATAAAGATATGTACAAATGTTTTAAAAATCAAAGGAAGCACCCACAACTTCCTGGCAGTGCAACCTTACATCATTATCCAGATGTGGAGATAAAACAGCAAAGGTCAAGCTCATTCACTTTTCTTTCCCCCCACGCCTGGAACCCGTCACCTGTCCTGGCCTGAGGTGAGAAGGCCTGACTCCGGAGTCTCCGGTCCCCCATCACCTCTTAAAGCAACCCGATGGAGCAGAACTGAGCCACATAAAGAGGGGATGAATGAATTTGTGTGCTTGGAAAGGTGAGATACTGGAGGCTTTCAATAATTCAGTGTTTGTAACAGACGGTGCATCAGTGGGTGAACACGCGCAGGGAAGGCTGATTGATAGCTGCTGCCAAAACAAAAAAGTGAGCCCCATTATTCATATCGTAATAGGATCTGTGGAAACTCTGCAGCCTGTTGCCTCAACTACAACGATGAGGCACTGGGATGTACACATTTGCATTTTGACCTTGTGTTATGTGCCAGCGTTGATATTTAACTTCACAAACATTGATGGTTTCTCGACTTTTATTTGACATTTGATTTCTAAACAGATACGCACAGTGCTCCACTACCTATCCATTATTCATGGGTGCGTAACTGAGGCCAATTGGACTTCAAGGCTTATTGAACGTACACCTGATAATGCCTGTTAAAAAGGACAGGGCAGCTACAACACAAGAGGAACCCTGGCTCACCTGTCAGGGGGGGACCCGGCTATTATTGGATATGTTTGTGAACACAAGAGCCCTCGATATGTCAAACTCTTATCACATGATGAGCCAATATATGCTTGAAACTCTAAGATACTAGGTAAACATATTTGTTTTGTGTAAGTGTGTGAGTGTTTCAGATTATATGGATGGCTAAAAAAAGAATAACTGGCAGTAAAAGAACAAAAGTACACACCTATTTCAATATTTTGATGCCATATTTTCTAAACTGCTTGCAGTGGTTGCTCTCTCCCCCTTTTCTTCACTTTTTATGGCTCTAATTGACCTATGCCCGCCCCCCCCCTCCCTCCCCTGCTATAACATCGAGGAAGAGAGCAAAAAGCAATCACACACCCTAGAAGGTGCATGTGAACACACAACAATGCATGCATAAACTTAAGCACACGCACAGAGGCATATCTCATTACCGTCCTCCTGATAGTGCAGCCAGTGGGTGTTGCAAGAGTAGGAAGGAAGGAGAGCAAGACAGAGAAAGAGAGAGAGGGAGAGGACAGAGAGAGAAGAGGCAGCCTTATAGAGAGAGGGAGAGCACCAACACTCAACAAGATAACAGGAGATACGCGTGGGAACAGCAGAAGCAGAGCTAGAGAAAGAGAAGAGGAGCAAAACAAGCCTGTCTGTGTGAGTGAGTGTGTATATGTGCTCAGTGTGTGTGCGTGTGTCTGAGCACAGTGTGTTTCCACGGTTCTCTCCCGAGGGCCGTGGCAGCCATGGCGTCAGATCCTAGCACCCAGTCCAGGGTGATGTTCCAGGCAGCAGACAAGACGCAGGAGCCGGCACACCGCAAGTTAGGCAAGCTGACGGTCAAGTATGACCGCAAGGACCTGCAGAGGAGGCTGGATATTGAGGAGTGGATCGACGGGCAGCTGCACCTGCTGTTTGACTGTGAGGTAGGGAAGGGCTGCCTCACACACACTCACACACTGAGGAGGAGGTGAGGGAGAGGGAGCAGGGAAAGAGCACTTAACGGCTCATGGGTGGCCGTGAGCGGTTGACCATCATATATGAGAGAATACAGCAACAGAAAAGAGGAATGGGTGGAAGGCGAGCTTCCCTTCGCAGCTGCAATTTTTGGCACACAAGCCCTCATGTGTCATCAAGCTGACTGCAGTATCAGCTCGCACGCTGGTGTTCCACCATAGTGATAAGATTCCTTGAAAGATATGATGTCTTCTTTTGTCATTATGTGGCATATTGAGCATGTGGTAACCCTCGCAAGGCAAACAACAACATCACTTTAAACATTTGGTTCCCACAGTTCAAAAGTTGGTTTTACACATGCAGCATAAAGTAGAGTAAGTAAGATACTAATATCTGTAATATTAGGAGGAAGCAAGGAGAAGGAAGCACCAGAACAATATTACTGTATGCAATAAAACACTGCTGGAAAACATCATTAAACAAAGTTTAGGAGTGGAATAGAGATAATCCTGCTGTTATGGTGGCATTATGTCATCATTTTAGTGTCTCTGTGTGTGTGTGTGTCCTGTTTTTCTCTTTACACACACATTCCTCTCGCCACTCAGTAACTATGCATGCAAATCTAAATAGCTCCTATACAGTATATTGCCCTCCACCAGGGATATGGATTTATATTAGCACAGTGCATGGAAAAACAAGAGTTGCAAAGTGGAAATGTGTGCTAATTATTTCAACCATGTGCTAATTAATGGCCTCATTACCTCGATGCTATTGTTAATAATGTACAGGGGAACTATAAGAGGATATGAGCCAGCACATACAGCGACCTCCAGGAGTCCACTCCTGTAACCATGGGATAAAATCCAATTATGTCAGAGGCTCCATATTGATTCGCTTGGCATTCTCCGAGGGGGAAACCATGGCAACAGATGTCTCCTCGTCCACATGAGGCAGCATGGCATGGTGGTATTAGGGGTGTCTGTTGAGCAGCATGATATTGCTATTGACGATGCAGATTTGAAGGCAAAACCTCCTGTGTTTAGTGCTGGGGATGGCAGCGACAAACTGTTTCCTGTTTAATTATTAGACTGCACAGAAACACTTGGCTGCAGACGGCCAGTAGTCCCCTCTTTTTCTGACTTATTTTGACATCCTCTTACCCTGCCAGGGAGCCCTGTGTGTACGGCATACAATGCTAATGCTGTATAACATTAGCTAGAATCTATACCTTTGTTATTAGTTGGTTGATATGCTGATCTTAACAGCAAATCTCAAGATATATATCAGGAGAAAATTAGAGTTAATGTTTGGTTTACATTTTTTAAAGCACTTTGGTTGAAGCTAAGGAAACAATTTTAAGATTATTTTGCTTCAATTTTCCTCACCACAACCCTTTTTTACAAGCTTCGTTCAATTTACATGGCAGGCTTTCTTCCTTGTGGTAATAAGCTTGTAGAGCCGGGGGAGGAATAAATAAACATTAGTGAAAACCAGGACATGAGGATAACAAAAAACAATCTCAAGTCTTTTAATCTTGTCCCAGAAACATACAATTATTTCATGTCTGCAATGTTTGGGGTTAGGTGATCTGACGCTTACACACTCTTCAACATGTGGATAAATGCACAGATAGTGTTTATTTGCATTAGCCTTGTGTAGACTTAGTCGTGGCTGTTCCATGTGCACCGGCCAGAGTGATGAATTTTGCATGGGCTCAGGGGAAGGTTACTCTGTTGGTTCTCGGAGTCTTCCGCGTGGAAGCATTTACCATCAGTCCCCTGTGTCACCACCTGAATTATTTAGCTGCATCTCTAATTCATAGAAATGCAGTCTGGAGTCACTGCCTTCTTTGCAAACTTCACACCTTTTGAGAAAAAGTAAACCAAAAAAATGTTGGATTAGACAGTTTGCTGAGGCTTCGTCTTAACATAACATTCACATCTTATAAACGCATTCTTATTTCTTGAAGACATGTTGTATTGTAGACTTTAAGTAAAACGTTTTTCACAAGTTGCAATTCTTAATTAGGAACTAGCCAGCTATTACATAACTGAACAACAAGATTTGGATCTATTATCCATCTTAAATGTAAATAATATTTTGACAGGAAGAGGACGGGGCTGATTAATTCAACACAAACTGGCATCTTCTTGAAACAGCTAGGTTTCCTGGGCATGGTTTCCTTTGTGTTAAAACAACAAATCAACGTGTGCATGTAAAAGAACCACAAAAATGTTGATGCTGATGTTTGGCTATGCTATTTTCTAACATACTAGTGATAGTGAATACTGTTGCATTCTGGGTTTTAAACAGTGCAAGTCGATCAAAGACCTTTAAGCTCCCTTGATGACTTATTAGCTGGTTATAAAATAGACTCAAATTAATATCTATGCCTCTTAATGAGCTACAAAAAGTACCATCAGCCTTAAGACTGACTATTTCTACTATATAGTTATTTTTAATGTCTGAACCTGCTGCCACAGGTAGTCTGCTTTTAAATCATTTCCAAAGCAGAAAACCTCCCACAAATATTGATACATTGGACTGTTAAAACAAGGAGGATGGTACTATCTAAAAACACGTCTTACATAGGTCTGTCCAAATGAAATGGCTGGGCGCCTGAAGGCCCAGTAAAGGAGCCCTCCCCAGATGTCATGTGATATTATCAACATGCTCACCTCACTCAGTGTGATAGAGTCTGAAATCAGGGAAAGAAGTCATTTAAGGATACCTTTCCGATAGAAAGGGACAGCTGTCATTGAAAGTAACACAAGTGTTTGTGTTGTCGTGTCGCCGTGTCGGCATGTCAGCTTGTCCCCACCCCACCCCCAACGCTGTAAACCTAGGGGAAACACTGTCACTATTTATTTATATACTTCTGTATAAACCTCCAATTTTTTTTATTTGTATTTATCTTACCTACTTCGTTTTCATTTTTGTATGACCTACTTCTCTGTCTTGCTGCTGCAATGCCCAAATTTCCCCCTTGGGCATCAATAAAGTATTATCTTATCTAATGTGAATATTAGACCAGGAGTGTTTACTCTAGCCTTTTGACTAGACTAGGCACCTAACATCTTCTACCTGGCTCCAATCAGCTTTTGGAGCTGACTGCAATAAAGTCTGTTAAAGGTCCTGGCATAGTTATAAACAGTTCAACATTACTGGCCTGACAATTCAGTTCAATGTTATCATTAAAGAAAAAGGCTCATAGCATTTTAAGAAATGGGGGTTTACGTTTGTAAACAGGCAACAAACAATAAAGTGTATCTTGATGTTGCTTTAATAAGTAATGGTGAGTGACTGTAGCTTTAAAATAAAATTTGGTTCAATTGATGTAATTTAGGATGGACCGTGACTTTGCTGACCTCCATGCAAAGCAACCCTACCACAAGGTGACCGTGAACATCAAAACTCAATTTCTGCACGTAGTTCAGAGTATTGTATTAGAAACACTGTGTACCTAGTGATTGGGCGAAAACCAGGTCAACCCATGCAGATCATTTTGAATTTAAAATTCTAGTGGGGTCATCTTATCTTGGGAAAAAAATCCAACTGCTTATTTAGGATGCATCTGTATCCCCTGTCTTAAACTGCAATCCTCTGAGAACCACTTTGGTATTCATGAATTCCAGTGATTAGTGCCAACATTCATTTTAGCTTCAGTCTGTTGCTTTTAACTTCAAAAAGTGCTGCTGAGACTTTGCAGCCTGGAGGCCTCATTAAAATGCTCTTCTGCTCTGACAATGAAGGTAACTTTCAGCAAGCTGGAAAATACAGCAGCGTATAATTTTAAATACTGAAAAGTTATTGCAAGGGTCATTGTGTTTTTCCAAGTATTCTCCTCTCATTGACATTCAGTAATCACGTGGTCCTGCAGTCACAAGCAGACAGCATAACTCCATTTATATTCATCATTAATGTACCTCGACAATTTGGCTTTTACATTCATGTGTTACTATTGAAAGCCTTTTAAATTTAGATGCAACTACTAAAGGGTAATTATCCCTGTTAATACTCCTAAAATCAACAAAAAACATTATTTATAGCACTATATGATAGCTTATTTGGTTATTGTAAATTTCCCCATTGTGGAATAAATAAAGGGTTATCTTATCTTATTTCCTAGATACAGGTTTAAAATAATCAACCTTATTGGTCAGCAGAAACAAAAAAATCTCCCATATATATATATATAGATATAGACTATATACAGTATATATATACTAATCACATTGATTAGGTGGCTGCTCTAGCATCACATTACCCTGTACTACTCTCAGAATGTAGATTTTTAGACTTTTACTACTGCACAATGACAGCAACCAATGAAATAATGCAACATTTAAGAGAAATCTGCGTTATTTTAACAACACCATTGAATTTTAAGGTCTAACTTTTTAGACACAACGACTGCAGCCTCACACAGTAGAGCGAGTAAGTCAAACACACAGCACAGGAACGTACATCGTGGTCTCAGCGCTGCGTGTGTCCTGCAGACATCAGCAGAATCACACGGGGCCCAAACTGGCAGAAAGTATCAATTAGAGCGGGCACAGGGGACTCTGAAGGTGGGTCCATCTATTCCACTTCTCAGCACTTCCACATTGATTGGCTTTCTCCTCATCCAGAAAGCTGTGCGAGCCCTCATCCACAGCGGCCGTGAAAACTCCCCAACCGGAAAATATTCTCGTCAAAAAGAGGTGCTACTTGTCAAATACGAGTGTTCACCTGCTGACGCTAGATATCCGAGTGTTCAGGATTCCTCCAGTGTGAACGGTTCATTTCCTCAGAAAATAAAGGGCAGATAAAAGCTTGTTATGTGGATTAATTACTTTGCCTTAGCCCTTTCCAAAAGGAAGTCTGTGCTTTTTTTTTAAACAATCTGTACTTTACTTATCTTTACTTAATGCTTACTTTTCAGGATGTTTTAAATTATAAATCCTCTAAGGCATAGCTTTACAGGCTAGCTAGTCTGACTTTAACTTTCAGACCCATATAGTACAGGGCAACATATCTGAGATGAGTACAGTCTTCAGAAAACGTTTCAACCGGAAACAATCTCTTGAGCCTGAACTAAATTCAAGCCGGGTAAATCATCCATGAAATCTGATGGTGGCATGTGGCAAGTATGGCCTCATTGTGCCTCTCTGGCTTCATGCCTCAGTGCTCCTGAAATTTACTTACATGTACAGCAGATCACAATCATATCATTATTGTGAGAAATTACAGAAATGCAAAAACAGCGTTTATTCTTTATTCAAACATACAGCGAGCGTGTTTAACTCGTGGTTGACCAGAAGAAGCGAACCTCTTTTACTTGATGAGTCAAAAGCCCATATACAATTGCCCTGTTGCGTCACATCTTCCACTCTTTCTGATTCTTATGAATGACTCTGCTCAGTGGTGTGGACACTCACACAACAGGATGGCACGAAGCCTGCAATGTTTGCACTAGCTTTTTAGAGCATGCAGAAATACAAATGTAGGCAATACAGTGATGGAGGAAAACCATCTTTGACTTTTGTATCTCTCTGATTTCCAGGAGGAGGAGATTCCCGAGTTAGAGATCGACATAGACGAGCTCTTGGAGCTGACAGATGAGGGTCAGAGAACCCGGCTGCAGGTGAGCAGACAAAAAAAAAAAAGCAAACATTTACAGCTTTTCGTTTTTATTCCATCTCTCATTTGGTATGGTATTGTTTTGAAAAACCAAAGGTCAGCCTGCTTTCCAGATCTCCAGGAATTTGACCCTTTTCACAAATTTTTCCAGCTCGACGTCTGGTTACATATCTAACTATTTGCAATGTGGGTTTACAGCTTAACAAGTACTTGACCCTTGCTGGAATCTGGTGTTGTAATAGTTGCAGTTAAAACGCCTAATGTTGTCTGTAAGCTGACCGTGTTTGTTTTTCTGTTAGGAGTTGTTGCTGGAATGCGGGAAGCCAAAAGAGGTGGGACTAAATCTACATACATGTAAACCACACCAAAGCATATCAAAATATCACTTTTGTGTCTTGAAAAGCTAAAAATCAATTTTCTTCCATCTTTTCCCGTAGGACTTTATCAACGGACTGCTCTACAGGATGAAGGGTCTACGCAAAATGTCAGGTCCCTTGAAGAAATAATCATAGGTCAAAAAAAGAATTGAGACAATGTTGAGCATGTCTACGGGATTCTCCCTCTGCCGCCCCGCCCCCCTCCCTCACCCATTCCCAGGTCCGCATAAGCCTAACACCAGAGCAGACAAGTTTTGAATGGCTTTATTTTTATTATTTCACTTTAATTTATGGACTACAATTACATTTGTTTTCTCCCATAAACAATCCGATAATGCACATGTTGATAAAAAGCTGTACCGATGGACGTTGTTGTTGTTTTTTTGTGTGTGGGTAAGACTGTACATTTTCAGTTGTCTATTTATGTACATAAGACTTTTTTTTTTTTGCCCTGATAACAGTGTTGTATGTTGAAAATAAAATGGGACATTTTCAAGACAAGGCTGTTGATGCTTTATGGAAAAAAGACACATCTGATTTCCGACTTAGTGGTTATCCAACAGTGCTGTGTCATCAGTTATTATTCACTCAACAGATACAAATAAATATTGACATTGTCCATTATGCTAATCAATTTACACTACCAATCAAGTGATCCTGTTACCACATTCCCCCTTTATAACTGCTTTAAAACACTCATTGCCTTGAAAGCCTTTAAAAGAATAATAATGCATGTCCTACTGTTCAGAGATAACTTGAAGACTTTACAGTAGTACGGCTCTCAGCAGATCTTTTACAGAACACTGGCTTTTGTTTTTTCGGGCGCACATTTTTCAGCAGACTTTTGGAAACAAAAGGAGATGTTGACATGTCAGCTCTAGGAGTAAACACAGGGAAATCAGCAGCAGGAAGAGTCCATTAAGTATGCATCCATTACCCTCCTCATCCATTTCCTGTCTGTGGTGCGTGTCTGACATGGCCAGAAAAAGGCAAACACAGTAACAGCCTCCATGCAAACCTTAATGGAGCAAAGCCCCCAAAGGAGAGTGTAATTATGGTTTCCTCTCCTTTAGCTTGACAGTAATGCACACTGATGAAACAGCACTCCGGCCTTCTCTCTGTCATACACAGAGGGTCTTTTGGCTACAGGATCCATTATAGTCATTTACTGGTTTTGCCCCCACTTATGATCTTGCTTTTCTGAGAGAGAGGCCGTCAATACTGCATGGGATGTTTTTTTCAAGTGATATCAGTGATAAAAAAAAGAAAAAAAAGAATTACTGCCTCTTTCTATGTCTCAGCCAGCCAATCAAGTCACAGTTTATATCCAACAGTATATCGCACAGAATGAGAATGTAACAGGCCTGGATGGGAGATACATTTGTGTAGTGAAAATACTTTACAAACAATGGCATAAATATGTGTCTACTTTTAACAGGAAAGGTCATACCACAATCATTCACAGAGGTGACATAACACCATAGAAGGTCACTCCGTTTCTCTGCAGAGGATGTGATCATTAGTAGACCATTCTCGAGACCGAAGAACAAACCGATATGAGGGGGCAGCGTGAGGGGAGATGCTACACTACTCATAGATTGATGATGGCTTTGTTCAGTCAGATGAAAAAAAAAACATTTAAAAAATGCAATCAAATCCCCTTAGGACTTTGATACAATATATCATCAGTGGGAATGTCCATAAGTCCAAAAGGATGTTTGTGGCAAATTAGGTGATTTAGAGACATCACTACTAGCACACAATTTGGACAGGAATGAAGGAGAGAAAAAAGGGTTGTTCCAGGACAATTTGATGCCACTGTGAAGTTCAGCTTGGAACCTTTCTATAACCTTTTACTTCATTATTTAAAAAAATTGTACTACTATTGGTTTTGGTAAAATTATTTCAAATCAACTTTTAATTTCTTGAGTGATGGCTCAAAATTAGATTTTGAGATGTCACACTGAACTTTGACCCCTAAAATCAAGTCAGATCCTCTTTAAGTCCAAGTGGAAGTTTGTGGCGAAGTTGAAAATAATCTTCCCAGGCATTCTTGGCAAGGAAGGACTGAGGACTCTAAAACCGAACATCTCCAGCCACGACTGTCGCCCACGCAGAGGTGGTAAGAAGGAAAAAAAAAAAAAAAGGCTTCGGTGTTAAAAATATAACTAAAAAGCAAAGCAGCGTTCCCTCAGAGACGTGACACAGCACCTAACACTTCTGCATCCTTTATAATGACATTACACATAGGGACAAGAAAGGCAATACTCATGTCAGACTCACAGCCAAACATAGATTACAAGAGTGACTGCAGTGACTGCCAAAAGAAAACAAAGCCCTCAGTAATCCTTTTATACAGACTCCTCTGTACTCCTTCAGAGCTGACAGCAGTCTGGGATCGAACATCGTCCCAGATGAGCACATGATGCGTCTGCTTGCAGTATGCGTAGTCAAGATTTTTTTCTTTTAATTCAAATGGTGACAAATGCAACGTGCATCTGTGATGAGCCTTTGTTGCCTCTGCTAAGTAGGACAAGTGCCTTTAAAAAAAAAAACTTCTTAACTTAAGTATGCAGTGTACTGAATATCAACACTGTGTAGCAGCCTCTGAAAGACTTTAAATCTTATACATTACAGACAGAAATCATAGCTATATTTTTCACATTGTAAGTATTAATTACCTTTTTAATTAAGTTATGACTACTTCTAAGCTTTTCTGTGCCATAAATATAACCCACTGTTGCTTTATCTGTTAATAAGTAGATGCTTCTCTTTGTGCAGTCTCCAAAATGCATGTTTTAACCACCGAGACTGATTGAATGAGGTCAGTGGGTGTCAAAATGAAGGGATCTTGCTTGCTTGCTTCTGATGATGATAGGTAGTATTTAAATCTACCGAGTCTTTTTTTTTGTACCACTTATGATAGGTCTCTAAAGTCTAAAGCACAAATCTAACAGGTCAAACGGACTGGTGTCTTATAAGGCAAACTTCTTCAGCACACACTCACTATCATGTCTTCCTCTTCTTCTTCGGTGCAGTGTAGTTTGTGGTGCGATGCTCCATCCTGTCATATTTATCATGGCCTTCCCTGGGGGGGGGGTGTAAATGGAGAATGGATTGATAATTCATCACTCTAAATACTTTATATTCATGCTGCTTAACAGTATGGTAGCTGCACGCCTACATTATATCTGGGTCATGGTGTGCATTCTAAATCACAGCCATCTTTCTTCGGTCGAGCAAATATTACCAATAAAAGCCCTCCTAAGGAAAGCAATATTAAAGCATCTTTTCCCATAATTCAAACATGTTACCGCACCTGAAGCAGCGGCTGCAGTACAGATCTCCATCACAGGTGTGACAGCGAAGGGTGGCATCTTGGTTGCAGATGCAGCACCAGGGAAGCTCTTCTTCTTCGTCACTGTCTGAAGGCTGATGTGCAACAGCAGCTGAGGAAGTCCGACTCTTGGTGGCTTGAGCGTGGATCTTTTAACACACCACATCAACACGGGATCAAATGTCATCCACTCAAATTGTGTAAAGAATCAAAAAAAAAAAAAAAATCATGTTTTTGTATTGAGGCTGTTTTTCTATACCGATTTCTTTGAGGTTTTCTTCTTCTCTGTGTTCTTTGGTCCACTTTGTTCTAAAGGTATGTTGTAGCCACTGGCCTCATCCAATGCAGCTTCTTCAGAAAGCTGGAACAAAAATTTGGAAACAGAGGTTATTCAGGTTATATTCATATGACAAATTATTAATGGCATAATAGCAGCCCCTTGTGGCCTCCTGAACAGGTTCTGGTCACTTCACAATTATCTTTAAAAAAATAATATCAGTAACAATTTGATCATGCGAGATGTATTATAATCTACATTACAGTATAGGTGTTATTTTGATAAGCCACACACCTGTTTTAAAACTCTCCTCACAGCTTCTTCCTCGGTCTCCTCCTCACTGTCAGGATGCTGAAAGTCCTCCATAGTAACTACACATGACATGATACACGCAACCGTGACAGAACAAACCCTCTGATGTGAAGTCAAGGCTAACAGATAAGGTGAAGAAATGAGCGCACCACAATCTGTGTGTGTGTGTGTGTGTCCGTACCTTTGTCTGGGTCCTGACCCTTCAGATGCGCCAGCCTCTTGGCCATGTCAAGGATCTGATCCTGGGTGTGGCGCTCATTCCTCAGTTCCGCCATGGCCTCCTCCAGCAGACGGGACTTCTCTGCCTCGAGCTGCTTGACCGCCTCTTCGTTCTCCTCTAAATTCTCCGTCACTGTTCCGTCCTCGCCCTTGTTGAGATCATTCATACGGCCATCTACGTCTGGAAACCAATGAATAGGTTTGCGTGCATTAAATACTTAACAAATTGAAATGTTGGTGTCTTAACAAATGACTGACTACGAGTATGTTATGACTTCATGTGTGTGTATTAATTATTCACTTAATGAGGGGAAATCACTGGCCACATCACTGGCCAAGAAGTCCCAGCAGCGCCTCTACTTCCTCCGCAAGCTGAAGAGAGCACGAGCGCCCCCATCCATCATGTGCTCCTTCTACAGAGGCACCGTCGAGAGACCAGCTGCATCACTGTGTGGCTTGGGAGCTGCACTGCTGCCAACCGCAAGACCCTGCAGCGCACAGTGAAGGCTGCCGAACAGATTATCGGTGTCCCACTCCCCTCTCTTCTGGACCTCTACGGTACCCGCCTCACCCGCACAGCAACCAGCATTGTGCGTGACCCCACCCCCCCCCCCTCACACAGCCTCTTCAGCCTCCTGCCATCGGGGAGACGGTACCACAGCCTGCGGGCCGGCTCCACCAGACTGGGAAACAGCTTCTTCCACCAAGCTGTCAGGAAGCTTAACTCTCTCCCCTCTCTTCCTTCCCTCCCCTCTGCCCCCACGAACACTGGACGTTGAAAGCCCCTCCTGTTTGCCTCCAAGAACTCTGGACTAATAACTCTGAAGCTAACTATTCAAAAGTACACTCAGTTTACTACACATTGCACATATTGCACAGTTCACTTTTTCTTTAAATTTTATTTACCATTTTGTACCTTTTGCACAATTTAGAATTTATTACTGTAAATATTATTTATCTTATTTTTACCTCATTTTATTTATCTATTTTACCTTATTTTGGTTGTATTGCACCGCGGGACGGAGACAAACGAAATTTCGATTCCACTGTATGTCTGGCATATTTTGAAATTGACAATGAAGTTGACTTTGACTTTGACTTGACTTGACAGTGTAATAAATGTGTAACATCTTACTGCATTCAGGATTTGATTGCTGGTTGTCAATGGCAACTTCCGCAGTCATCTGATTTAAGAGATCATTGGCTTGCTCAGTTTGTGTCCTGTTATCTGGAGGCTTGTGCACCTGTTTGATAAACAAAGACGCATACTGGTAAGCAATCATGGCAAGAGACAAACCCAATACGTTACACGGAATTAGCGGGACACTTACAGGTGGAGGTGCTTGAGATGGTGCAGGTTGACCCTGTAGAACAGCCAGACGGTCCTCCATCTCCCCCAAAGAAGGCACTGGCTGGCTGGGAGCTTTCAGAGCAGCAAGGCGAGACTCAAGATCTTTCTCAGTGGGGATAGACTCTGCAAGAGAAAAAAAACTTAAAATAGCTTTGGCCAAAATGTAGATATTGGATTATTGTAGCTGTCAGATTAAATAAAAAAAAAGGCGAGTGTTAAATATAAATAAATTCTATTACTTGGCTTAGTGTCTTCTTTCAGCTTCTGAAGTCTTTCAGCAATAGCCTGGTCTTCTCTACTCAGGCCTCTGGTGGGTACGACGCTTTCTTTGTTGTTTCTGTTGCTTCCATGTGCAAGAGGCTTTGACGACTGTCCCTGCTGTTTGGCTTCAAGTGCAGCCACCCGTCTGGAACAATGTTATCATTAACTATCGTGAAGCTGCTGAGCTGACATAGTGCATATATATCATTTAATCATATACTCACTTTTTATAATTCTCAGGGGGAGACCATTTGCCAGTACTATTAGTAGATCCTCCGCTAATATTAAAGACATCAAGATTAGTTCAAATGATTTAACATTGTCATTTTTAATCACATGAAATTGTGTTGCAGGGTTGGACCTTTACCTTGTCAGATTAGCATGGCACTGCTTGCAGACCTTCTGCTGGGTGTTTCCACATCGAGGCACCACAGCACTGAAAGTCAAACAGCTGGAGCAGAAGGCGCGGCCGCAGTTCTTACAGCCGAGCTGCGATCGTAAATTACACTGTTTGTTATATTCAAAACGTTTAGTGTGTACAGCCATGTCAGTAAATAAGACAGCTTACCTCCTTCTTGAAGAGACTAAACTTTGCAGTGCAACAATAACAACGGTTGTCCATCCTGACACGTGTAGAGAGTCATGAGACAGGCAACCTTGTAATGACTGATAATGCCTTGCGTGTATTAAAAAAAAAAAGGCAGATTTGACCAATAATCTTTCTGTTTCCTTACTCTTTCAACCTTTTAACGTTTCTTTAATCAGGGCAGGAAGCAATCCGGAAGACACGCTGTGACGCCTATCCTACAATTTCCGGTGTTTGGTTTTCGTCCAATCAGCTTTCTCCATATCGTCTCGCGGCATCTGTTCAAAACACAGAACCGAGCGCTGGACAGCATTTCTGCTTCAACGCGGCGACGACGTTTTTATTTTTATTTTTGCCGTAACAAGCTGAAAACAAAGACAAACGGAGAGTTTTAAGCGGTATGGAAAAACAACGGGGTTTAGCTGTATAGTTGTGTATACAGTTGTAGCTCTTCTGTGGTGTATTTATTTATTTCTGCGATTTTAATAAAATGCGAAGAACGGCAGGAACTGTGAAGCTAATGCTAATATTAGCTATCTAGTGACGTCACGTCTTTCCCTGATAAAAAACATATATAAGTTTATTAGGTAAGAGTCATTTGTTGCTGTTTTAATCAGGTTCATGTTTATATTAATCCATATATGTAATTATATTACATTATTAAGTAAGTACGGGAAAAGGTGTATATCTACAGCTATTTATAAGAAAATGTCTACTTGTGGTATCTACCGTGTTTATATAAATATATATCTGCTACTACAGTACAGTATAATAAATCTATAGCTCACAGTCCATAATCCAAAGGTAAACAGTATACTGTACATTTTATGAAATTGCTAGAAACCACAAACCTGCCCCCCCCCAAAAAAAATAACTTATCAAGTCTGAAGAAATAAACTACATCAGGGATGGGCAACTTTGGTGACAGCAAGGGGCCACATTCATTTAATTCTCACTTGCCAGAGGGCCAAATTAAACGATTGCAGTCGATTATGTCTCAAATTAACTCGACATATACCAGTGATCAAATATCATTATGGACATATTTCTGGTTTTCATGATTTCATGGCAGATTTCTTCATGTTTCCAATTAATTGACATGTAAAAAATTAACCTGAGGGCCACGTTGAGGGTTGATGGGGGCCGCCAGTTGCCCACCCCTGAACTACATGAATAGATCATATGTCTAGAAAAAAAGCAGGTAATATTTAATTTAAAAAAAGCAAATAACACATCTTTCTGTTTTTTCTTCTTCTAGGTACCACGTAGTTTTAATTACAACAATGGCAGAAGGAGGAGATGTGGAATGGGAGCTGAGCAAAGAAAACATTCAGCCACTGCGGCGGGGCAGAGCCATATCAGCCTTACATCAAGCCCTCAGTCAACAACAGGATGGGCTCAACTCTGCCATCAACCAACAGAGACAGTATGGGTGCTCTTTAAAGCATTTTTTGGAATTCATGTTGCAACATTTTCACATGATGATTGAGAATCGTGGGCTTTTGTTTCTTAAGGGCCTTTGAGTCTGAGCTTCGAATGTATGAAGGAGATGATCCACTTGATGTTTGGGATCGGTAGGTAAAATATGTTAACAAGTGCATTTTTTTTAGTGATGCTCTGAAATTGAAGAGGTTTCATTTTAAATTCTCACATGGTGTTGTCTTTTACAGTTACATTAAGTGGACTGAGCAGACCTTCCCTCAGGGAGGAAAGGAAAGCAACCTCGCCACACTGCTGGAACGAGGTGTTACCAGATTCACAGAGGAAAAGAAATACCACAACGACCCACGATATGTTGACCTCTGGATTAAATTTGTACGTGTAATATTAAATCCACTGACTGTATTTTCCTGACAGACAAACTAATGCAGCAGTAATAACTTTTGCCATCTGTTGTCTGGTGCGTCATCAGGCAGAGAACAGCACTGAGCCCCTGGACATTTACAGGTACATGCAAGCACAGGAGATAGGGGTCACACAGGCATCCCTCTACATTGCTTGGTCTGAGGAATATGAGAATCAGGGGAACTACCGAAAAGCAGACTTGGTCTTCCAGGAGGGATTCAAGAAGTGTGCTGAGCCGCATGAGAAGCTCCTGCAGTTTCACAAGTACAGATTCATCCTGTTAAGTTTGACTTAATGTTTAAAATGCAAAATATATGCCTATTCAATAATTATTGTGACCTTATTCGCAGGGCTTTGCAGGCACGTGTGTCCCGGCAGGTGATGATGAACCTGGATGAAGATGATAGTGATGATGAGTCTAGACAACCTGAGAGAGTTTCTCTTGTTGACCTCAAACACAGAGGGAAGAAAAAGGCCATCGCACCCATCAACAGAGCGGGTTCTGCGATCAGAAGTAAGCACTTGAATAAACAAATCTAATCTGTTGTGACTATTACTTCAGCACATTTGAATAGTGTTGACATAATTTAAAATTATTAATTGATTAATGTGGTGTTTTTTTTTTTTTTTTAAACAGACATTTCTGGAGGCCTGCAGTCACAAGGCGGCCCGGTCTCCGGTAACGCTTCAAACAGTCGGTTGGTGGTCTTTGATGAAAACAAGGCTCAAAGTGCTGGCCCTTCAGAACCAAAGTTGGAGCCATGGATGGCTCCTCCCTCTTCCAGGGCGAAGGAGAACGAGCAGAGGACAGAGAGATGGTGTGATGTGAAGGTATGAGTCCAGCAGGTGTTTTGTTTCCATCGATTTGAATGCCTTGAGTGTAACCAAGTGATGTCAACTTAATGTGCATGTGCCACAGATGCCGCAGAAGTCCAAATTTGGACACACTGTTATGGCTCCACCACCTCCTAAACCAACCTTCCAACCATTTGTTGAGGAGTCAGACCAGCCTCCAACCATGTGAGTGACCTGCTGACGATAATGGGAAACATTTTTCTGATATTGATGACTCACTGAAACATATGTGTAACAACCCCTCCATTGGGATGATCTGCTGCTTTTGTCATATTATTGTATTTACCATGAGAAGTAAAGAACTGATTATGAAACCTCCATTATCTATACAGCTTGGGTTGCGGGAGCTGGGGCTCTGCTGTTTTTGAGCAAGAGGCGATGTACACCCTGGACTGGTCGCCTGTCAATCACAGGGCAGACATGAAACAGAATCAGTAAACTACTGATACAATTATAGGAGATGAACTATTACTATGTAGTTATCTTAATGCCTGTCTCTGCAGCCACCGGGTAGGATTCAAACAAAATGGATTAAAGCAAGCAGAGAAGTGAGTTAGACAAATATATAAGGCTCATCACTTTGTCCTTTCTCCTCCCTTTATTAGAAGATAGAAACATCCGTTTTGCACTGTGGACACACAACTAGTTATTTAATGAACTGAACAAAGATGAAGCCCTGTTTATGATTCATTTGAGGGTTTATTTTCTTAGTTTATGCTTCTCAGACTATGTATCATCTAATTGATTGCTTTGGCATCTTCCTTGTCACACTAAGGACTCCATGTAAGATCAACCCGACAGTGAACACAGTGTTATCGTCTCGTAAGCCCTGCAGAGAGGAAACGCCTCTGAAGAGACTACAGGAGCACCATCAGCAACAGAAGGAAGCGGAATCGGGAAAACCACAGGAGCAGAGCATGTACTGTAAAGAGCTGCTGCTCAGTGGCGCCACGGAGTTCTGCTTTGAGGAACTGCGTGCTGAACGCTACTTCAAGAAGATGCAACAGGAGGGCAGAGATGAAAAGGATTAAGCTTGTGCTAGCTGATCATATGAACTCTAACAAGACAGCTCGCCAGTTCTTTGCCATGGACTTTGCCTTTCATTTAGTAGAGACTTTACTAGTAAGTATCATGTAATTACTGCTTTGTGTTGTTTGTTTTACTCCTGTTTATATTGTTTTCATGGAAATTGAGTTCTCAGAATGGTCAAAAAAACAAAAAGGGTAGATGTTTTTTAGAGACCCATTGAAGTCACATTATTTTAGTCTGATGGATTCACTGAAACAACGTGTGGAGCACCTGGACATTGTATTTTAATTCAGTATAAATCACCACAAAAAGACGATAGCAAGGATTTAAGATCTACACATTTTCAACTAAGACTTTAGAACTCAAACCATTTAAACTACTAGTACTGCACGCATGTAATATGTCAACTCACTGTACTATACACTTCAAGTCTCTGCTGGCTTTTTTCTAAATATCTCTCTAAATCCAGTCCTCCATTTTTCAAGGTTCAAAGTTGTCTTTATTATCCATGTGAGAGGACACTTTGCAGTCAGCAGTAAAATAGATACATACAGCCAGCAATCAGCATACAACATAAGAAGGTCACTAAGAAGTAAAAGAGTCCAATGGACAATCAGTAAACACAACATATAGAAACAGAAAACGCTCTACTGCACCTGAAGAACTTCTGGACAGATGACGGAGGCTGTAACGTTATAGCTGAAACCCAATCTTGTCCGAAATGTGTGACCATAATAGAAACCACAGGTGACTTTGTCTCATCCTGTTATAGTACCCTTCTTAATTACATTGTTCTTAAGAACTTTTATATAGTTGGCTGATTTGTTTTGTATGTGTTTTGTTTTTTTTGAACATCTGAGTGAGGGTTTAAGTGAGTGGATTTCATCCGTTTTTTTTACTGTCCCATTCTGAGAGAAATGTCACTTCAAGGCCATTTTTCATTGATGTTCAATAAACGTGTTTAAATGTCTTGCTGATGTCTAATGGATATATTTAATTGTGGTTGTTTTGTAAATATACACTGGGGTAGATTATATTAATACACTGTCAGCAGGGGGCATGTGAGGGCAAGTGTTGCACTACTTGAAGAACTCATTGGTCACATTAACAGTTAAGTGCTAATCTTTTAATCCTTTTGTACAAGAGTCAACACAGTTACACACAACTAAAAACAGCAAAGATTTGATTTAAATAGTCCTTAATTCATTGTCATTATTACTGATTCTAATAAGTGATTTAATTTATCTTCCTCACTGCACGGTATCCTTTTTCTTTTTTTCGGCATCCCAACAAATAACAGGCACTGGTTTGATATGAGCAAATTCAGCTGACCAAATGTTAATCAATGTCCGGGGGAGATTACCCAGAAGCCCCCCTGACTAAAGCAGTGGGGGGTAAACCTTATCTGCTGTGATGATGGGATGTACTTCACACACAGACAGCTCGCAGGGCAGACTTTGATGAATGGTTTGAAGATAGGTGGATGTCTCATTAGCAAGTGAAATCCAGCCTTTGCAGTTGTGGGCAGAACAGGATTCAGTTATCCCCAGGAGGTCAGTCACTTTCCTGATGCACCATGGCACAGAGTGTTGCTGCTCCACATGCACACAGAGCTCTGGATCAACAGAGTTTAATCCCATTCTGGAAATATGACACTGCCAGCAAAGATCATCACAACTGGTTGGTTCCAAAACTGCTTTAAACGTTGGCTTAGCACTGAGTGTAGTAAAATTCAATGATAAAGGATCGGCAATATGATGCACTCCTATTATAGCCACAACATAATGCGTCCTCTACAGTTAGCTTTTTTTTTTTTTTTGGCCAGACTTATTAAAAGCTCATCCCGTTGAAGCGAGCAGCCAGCAAGTATGATTTCACCTCAGACAGAAAATCCATAGCACTCTCTTCCTTCAGCAGATAGATGTACACGCAGGCTACTTTTACTTTCTGCTTTAGACAGGCCCTCAGAGAAGAGCTTTTGTCCAGCACTCTTACTTTGAAGGACAAAAACACTCAGGGTCTGAGCGATCCTTGTTTTCAGAGTATGAGCTCTTAACCTGTTTGTATTTACATGCACCAGTTCACAAAAAAGTTTCCTGCCAAAGTATCTCGACTGCCTGACTTAGAAGTGATTTTGCAATAAGGTGAACTACAGAGAGCCTCCAGAGGTGCAGCAGCAAATCCCTACAATGGGTTTTAGGAGAGTAACTGGTATGTAAGCTTGTTTCCTCCAGGAACAAAGCAAAACATAAGATGACGCTGAATTGACTTGCTCTGAAGAGGATCTTTCTAACTCACACTTTTGCCTTACAATCCAAAAGTCTTGACCTCCTTCATGACATTTCTTGGCTTTATGAGAAAACTCATGAATCAAGATGCACTATTTCATAAATTTGACCTATCTTATAATAATGACTTCATAAATTATAACTTCTAGGAAAACAACTATGCTATGGAGGATCAAAAATTGGACCAGATAATTGTAACATATTTAACATTATAATAAAGCCTTAGTCAAAGTTTATTGACTATTATCTATAATACTAAATAGTTTGTCTTTGATTAGCTATCTTATCAAAGTTTAATATTTTCACTATCATTACTCTTATATTACTAATATGATTGCTTTGACTTGATGGTGACTTATTCACCTTTTTAGCTTATTACAATTAACTTGTCTGGATCTTCTTTTAAATCTTCTGAATTTGTCTCATGTACAGGAGAATTATGTGAGCTCTGTCTTTATTCCTACTGTGGTTACCTCACTATCCGAATTAAAGTGGATCTATAGGTCACCAGTAAATGTCAACGGCTTTTGACAAGAAATGAAATTAACTTAAGCTGTATGGGATGAACCCAGATAACCCCTTGTTTAATCCTTACAGATTTACCCTAAACAATAGAATGGATTGAAATGCAAACAATGAAGGCGGTATATCACTTGGGCTTTCATTTTAATGTAACCCTACTTCTCTGTCACAGTAAGCCCTCTTTAGTGCGGTCAGTATAAGTCAAGTGAAGCTGACAAATACATATGAATAAACCCTTTTAATCTCCGGTGAAAGAAGTCTTTGTCACCACTGGCCATCAGCTACATTGCCTTCAAGTAAATACATCATAAATATTCACATTATCAATTATATAAGTAATACAAATGTTAACAATGTTGTTCTTTTATTGCTTAGATTTACACTCACATTAGAAATCAAGCAACCCAAATTAAATTACTTGCCGATTAACAAATAAAGAAGCATCCTCTTCTTTGTCTTCAAATCAAATTTCCCTTTTATAGGCAATAGTACAAAAGCATTTCAAACTAGGGGACAGAAAACTATTTCAGAAATCCTCACCACATATATGTTTGTTTTGTTAGTTTTTAATTAATTCCACTTTTCATCTTAGCAAAGCTGATAATGAGAGCAAAAAGGACTGTTTTTGTGACACCAATTTTTTTTCCTCACATAAAGACACCCATTTCAAGGCTGTTTCATTGCTGCAGTCTCAAAATAAAAGCGAATTTAGAAAGTACGTCATGCCTAGCTGTAAAATATCTCCAAATGCAATAAATCTGTGACAATAAGGCTGACAGTTTTAAAGAGAGGGAGGGGTTGTGTCTGCTACACCCCAAACAGCTAAATCTGCCGTTGGCATGCAGATTGGTTCAGTGGGGTCTTTTTATTTTTTACATTAATGTATTTGATGTGTAAGTAGGGACATTATTATTGAAGCCTGCTTTGTTGTCTTTGCATTTGTCTCATCTTAACTATAACATGTATTCCCCCCCAATCTGGCTCCTTGTGTAAGCCATTTCTGCAGGATTTGACCCTAATACATTTTCCTACCTTGTGTCTGTTCTTAGTTGCTGTATGAATTCTTCAGGAAATGATTGTGGTGAAAAGAGAGGGGAACATTTTATTTTTATTATTAAAGTTTCTTTTGCATGCATGCACCAAAATTTTTTGGTCTCAAAAAGAGACGGGTTTAACCTTTTTTTGTTTTTTTTGTTTTGTTTTTTACACACACAAATACAACAACCCCTCCTGCCATCTGCCATCCCTGACCCTGTCATTCCATGGATAATGCATTTGACAGAACTGCAGCACACTGGGTGAGCACAGCGCCCTCGTTTTCTTATGTCACCCACATTACGTGCAAATGAGACAGATGGGGAGAGGGAGGGCAGGGAGCTGGGTGAAAGGTATCCCAGGTGATGAGGTGTGGAGGAGCCTCCCTTCTCCTTACAGTCACTATAAACCAGCAAAAAAAAATAATAAAAGATACACATGTGGCTATCAGTTCTCCTGCAGCCCAATGAGGGAGTGGGAGGAGGCGGAGAAGGAGAGAAGTGATAAAGAGAGAGAGAGAGAGAGAAGGAAAGGGAGGTGGGAGCGAGTGTGTGTGTGTGTATGTGTGTGTGTGTGAGAGAGAGAGAGAGAGAGAGAGAGAGACAGAGCTAGCAGGAGAAGGAGAGGGAGAGAGGGGGGATGGAAGGAGCTGTATGGGGCCGTGATACTCTCTCCTCCTGGATGCTGCTTTCCTCTTTATGGCTTTGTCCCTCTCTTTGTGCGGTCACCCTGTGTCCCCAGGAGCAGGCAGCGTTACGCCGACCAGCACTCAGCGACTGAGCCGGGGATGAATCAGCCCCAACAAAGAGCCTTTGAGATGGGAATGTGTGCGTCTGCCTGGAGGGAGGATCGCATCAGGCTTTCCCAGGCAAGCGGCAGCCTGCAGTGTGCGCTCGCTTGACAAACCAGCCCTCCTCCTCCTCCTCCTCCTCCTACTCCTCTTCCTCTTCCTCCTCGTCGTTGTGTGCATGACAGAGGGAGAGAGAGCGTGAATGTCCGTGTGTGAGTGCATGCGTGTGTGAATGTGAGTGAGCTTTTTTGTGTGATAGTGTATGTGAGCGTGAGTGTGTGTGCGCGCACTGTGGCTTCCTATCCATCCAGGAGGAGAGAGGCTCTCCTCTTCACCAGACGGCAAAGGTAAGGGGGGTGACTGCTTTTTTTCCCCCCTCCCCTCCCTCTACTAACAATGACTTATACCTCCAGAGCCCCGTTTCCTATCTCCACACCGAGGAGAGTGTGGGGGGGGGGGGGGGGATTGGCAAGGGGGGCTAAAAAGGATAAGAGGCTTAACGTCATTGATAAAGACCAGGCTAGTGTTTGCCGTCGGTATAGGCATCAGCCGTGGTGGAGCGAGATGAAGAAGAAGAAGGAGAAGGAGATGGAGAGGCTGTGAGGAGAATGCAGTGCAGCCCAGGTGCTGATGTGGGAGAGAAAATGGGAAGACAAAAAGGGTTGCTGGATGTACTATTCAGTGGACTGCATCTCAAAAAGCCTTCCTCTCACCCCTCCTTCTCAAAATCCTCACATGCCATTCCCGAGTCCCTTTCACTTCTCCCTCTCAACCTCTACCGAGGGAGACGAGCACAGAAATCCCTTAAATGTTGTCCTCCAAGGCAAGGATCCTGCTTTTCAAATGCAGTCAGTGTTCCTGCATTGGGCACTGTGGACAGAAGCTTCCTGTTTTTACCGTTGTGTGTGTGTGTGTGTGTGTGTGTGTGTGTGTGTGTGTGTGTGTGGTGTGTGTGTGTGTGTGTGTAGGTGTGTGTTCTCAGGTGATCTTTCTGGTCCAACAAAAGCAAAGGAATTCAAGCTGCTACTGTATATAGACATTTGAGTGTGTGAATGCTGTTGGGGAATAGTCACAGGATTTGAGAATGATGTGACATATTTTCTTAACGTTCACTTTGATCTGTAGGCTAAATGTAGAAACTGGTTGTACGAGAGCTTACATAAACGCAGGAGGTGATGTTTTAAGCGTTAAGAAGCAAGGATTCTGCTTTTGTATGTTGATGACAGGTTGGTACTGTCTCTTATTTCAAATGCTGAATCCCCATTGAAGATCAATTTAAGGCTAAGATATTTTCAAGAAGTGCATGCATAACTTTTAGTCCAATGTTTGCCCTATTCATATTGACAGATCATTCACACACTTCCTCAAGAGTTGTGACTTCACCTGGTGTTTTTTAGTGCATCATTGTTTTTAATGGTGCATTTGATGATGTAACTGAGGCTCCATACTCCTTTAACTTCCACGTGTTTGTGTCTCAGGTTGCTCATTGATATTCAAGGAGGAGGAGTAGGAGGGAAAGGGTAGAGGAGGTGACAGAGAAGGTCTTTTTGGTGCCTGGACGCACACTTAAAGGCACACTTTACACAGTTGGAGATCTGCTTCAGCGAGGGTGATGTACACACTCTCGGTGTCTTCTACTTTTTGGAGGCCGGTTCATTTCACTCATCTTGCTTCCAGGCTCTTCCAGGCTCATAATGCAACCTAAACTGGCAGCACAGACTCTACAGGATGTGTACTGGTGTACTGACAGGACAGGAAGTGATAAGAACACCTCACAAGCACATGTACGCAGATGTAGAACATTTTCATGTGCCCTGTTGTGTCATTATTTGTTGTCAGGAATGCTGACCATTTCATGTGCATGTCATCTGAAGGAGGGACAGCGTAAATTATCAGCTTAGCATCCCCTCTGGCCATGAGACGTCAAGCAGTTAGGATTAAAAAAAGCCTCTGAGTCCAAATTGGGACAGCATGAAATGACTCCCCTCTCAGGGCTAGAACAGCACCCATGCTGGGTGACAGAGGAGGGCAGCCGAGTTGGTGCTGAATGATACCACAAAGAAATCTGAGGTTAAAAATGATTGGTGCTTTGTCCCTGGAAGAGACATGCTGAGGCCTGGGCTAAAAAAAATATAAATCAAAGCTTTCATAAGCACATGCACGTACTGTAAAGCTTGCTCTGAAGCCTGGTGCATCAATAAATTAGACCCAAGAGAGAAGAGTTGGGCTCGTATCATTGGTCCAGGCTGATCATACGCTCCTATCAGCAGAGCATCAAATTGTTCAAAGCACTTGTAAGAGCCAAGAGGATCTTTAATTAAACAGAGTGTTGGTCAGTGCTGCATTTCCCTGCTCTAACCCTTAGTATACATATTCTTACAAGGCATACTTCCTGAGTTAGAAGTGTATTATTCTAGTGATGTGTCAGCATCAGAAGAACATCCCATAAAAGCCCCAGGACACTAGAAGTGCTGCTTTTGCACTCTCATTATGTTAAGGTGTTTGGACCAGATAGAGACTATAGCTTTTACTGTGTATTTATGTCCAATGCTCCTGGCTGCAGAGCATAACAAACACATTTTCTCTCCCATTTTCTCATCTGTGAGAATCAGTGCCAATATGTCAGGTGACAGAATGATGTATGCGCTCTGTGGATGTCCTCAGATCCCCTTTACTGAGGCTTGTTTACTGCGAACAAAGCTTCCCAAGACGATGGAGAAAAGAGGTTACATCTTCAGAAGGGAGAGAGGGCTGCTCTCAACAACACTGTGCCCCTGAATTAGGCCAAAAAAAAAGCATGAAATATTTATATTGTGAGCACTGACACTTTAAATCTATGTCTAACTATTTCTGCATTTTTATTTTCATTTTGGTTCTCTCGCTTTTTTTCATCTCCATCTCTTTTTTCTGTCACTATATCTAAGTGTCCAGACTCTCCTTTCCTCCGCCACTCTTTCTCCCCCATGTCTTGACCTCTTATTTCTCGTTTCATCCTGTCAATATTAACACAAGACTGATGTGCACTCCTGTGCAAACGTCTGCCCTTGAAGAACTGACAGCCCACGTTGTCGGGCACGGACATCTTATTTCACTCTACATCTCAAACCCGAGGCTTATTTTATTACTCATACAGTGCATGGAAAATAACAGACAAGCTTTTGATGAGTTTACTTACTCGGAAGTTTTGCTCTGTGACTTCTTGCTGTTTCTCACCTGCACTACTTCATACAGAGGTTTGAGTGACAGCTTGCACATGACGCATCACCTTTAGTTCTGTAACACAAGATATGTCACTATCAATGAACTGCATGAATATGGGTCATTGCCCTGCTTAGTATTTATGTCTACCAAATGAAATTTAAATGCAGATGCATTTGGCTGTTCCAATGAATATGTTACTCACACCATTTTTTCCTCATAATTTGAAATTTCTTGAAGCTTATTATGACATAAACTATTTACTTAAAATAGTCCAAAGCATTCGCTTGACATGCCATTGGGTAGCTCAACATTGAGTCCCTGACATGCTGATGCTGAGCAGTTTTTACACTTTTTGTGACAACCATTTCAGTTTAGCATGTAAGCATTCAAACGAGCTCAAGAATGCATGCATGGCACCACGCTTATATGACAATGCTAACATGCTGCTGTTAAGCATTACAACAACTGTTTATGTTAAACATGCAAACAAGCTAATAAGCTAATTGATAATGTTGCCATGGCGACATACAGATAATGACAAAGCTAACATGCTGATGCTACGTATTATCCGTATTGTGACAACCATATTACCTAACATGTAAATGCTCAGAAGGTTTCATGCTTATTATGATATCCATTTTAGGTCTATGTAAGCATGTTAAAATCACCAATGCAAATCTCGTTTTGATCAAAATGGAATATAAGAAGTGACATTGTTTTTTTTCCCCTGCTGTGATCACGAATGTCTTATAAAATAACAGGGCAATCAAATTGGTAGTTGTAGGATATAACAATCTGGCCCCACTTAAAATGACATCCATAGTCACTTGTGAGGCTAAAAAGACGAAACTGTGCTCAGTCATTCCCACATTCTCCAGTGTTCCCTTTATTTCCGGGCGCTTTGTCGTGCATGATGTATCAGACCACCAGCATGAAATATGCATTGCAGAAACGTGTGATTCCATGTCATTGAGTGCAGCTTATTACATCACTTGTCATCTCCTATTGACAATCCTTTCGTATCTGCAGAGGTGACCTCAAAGAGAAAGCAGGCATCAACTTCAATCATAAACACTGCTATTGTACTGTCCAGACACGTCCCACACTTGTGTACCTTTTTTTTTTGATGCCCTCGGATGGTGGGCATGTACACACTGGCATGTGTGTACATGCATGTGTGTGTTTTACAAATGAAAGAGATGCCCAACCGAGACCCCCCCTTCTCCCCCCTTTAGCGGCAGTCTCATTACACTCAAAGGGCAGAACGGTCATCATAATGAAGCTGTTAGAAGAGCAATCTTAAGGCCCCCCAAACTGCACTGCACAGTCCAAAAGCAGCAGCTAAGACCTTGATAGTATCTATGCCACTCTGAAATAGATGTAGCTCCCTATAATTCAGGTTAGCTGGATTACGCATATACATCCATTGACAAACACAAAAAGAGGATTACCTCATCTCCATTGTCTCCCACCCTCACCTCACTATTTGACATTAATCCTGTACAAAATAAACATGCTTCTGGTACTGGAGAGGAGGGGTGCATGTTGTGTGTCCTAAAATTAGATCAGTAAAGAACTGAACACCACCACTAATCCTGCGAGCACAGTCACCTGCAAACTCTCTACATTCTTGCTAGCATGCCAACAAAAAAGATAGAAGCAGAAATCAGGGCAAATAGAAAAAAAAAATCTTTCAACAGAGCTGGGAGCGCTAACATCGAGCAAATCCAATATCTCTTATCTCTGGATCCCCTCCCACTCATCCACGACTCCTGCTTGGGGTATGAACATGAGAGGAATGTAAGCACGCCCTCACCTCTCTTCTCAAATGTATTTGGAGACATATAGATTGCATGGTTGTATTTCTGCATTGCAAGAGGGCACAGAAGCTTTATTCAATGAGTTGGACAAGGCTGTGATTGGATCTTAATTTCTGCCTGTAATAGGAATGTAAGCTGTAATTAAGTTAGGACCCTGCAGAGGAAATAAGAATCTTTTTGCATAGTTGAAATAATTTGCATGCCTTGTCATCTATTTTTAAAGGTGTGTGTTAAGTCACACTCACGAGTAGACTTGCTACAACAGCTTTATGCTCATGTAAATTTTATTCAGTGAGATTTAAATTCTCATTGACAGAATATCTGCATTTTTCAGGTCATTTAAATGTTGCTACTGCACACAGTTGTAGGAAATGGATATTCCTAATCTAGCACAGTTTCAGAGTGACCTCATCCTCTTTGGGGCTTCATATCCCTGACAGCAGCTGGCTTAGTTTTGCCTCAGCACTTTGATAGATTCTAGACAAGCCACTGAGGCATAGGGTCAAGTCCCTGCAGTTTGAAAGGGATGTGACCAGAAAGCGTGATTATGCGTGCAATGCTGTGCAAGTTCAGCTCCCTGCATACGTAAACTAACTGGCATAGAAATCAATAGCATATTGTTATCAAGACAGTCATAAGCTTGGCGGAGTTAGAAGGGTCAATATAAGGCCAGTTGCATGTGATTAAAGCTTGTTAATCAATAATTGCATCATTTTTCAATTTATTTTGCCCACGCTTGAATCAACAAAGTGTGGGTTTCTACTTTCCTCAGGTATCACAGGGGTGAGTTTGTGTTTCCAGAGTCTTCAGGGGGAAACAGACCGAGGATGAACAATGAATGCCTTGATATGTTCCCTTCTTCTGTTTCTTTGAACTGATGGAGCTCGATAAAGTACCGTTCAAAGCAGCCATCCTATTTGTGCTGCTATCACCCCATTATTTCTGGCAGTGAATGACTGTAGCAGTTTGCATTTGACTCATGAGTAAATATTGATTGATCTGCTTGTAAGAGGATTCATGAAGGCTATGTGTAAATATTTGTTGAGGCAATGCCAACATCTGCACGTCAAACAGTTATCTAAGCGGACAGGCTCTTGTGCAGGGGAAAAAGAGGGAAAACAGAGATCACAATCCTCTGTTTTGCAGCTTGTTTTCTCAGGTGTGCGTTGTTCGAAAAGTAGACCAAACCGGTGCTTAAAAGCCTTTTTTTGTGTCTGATGGAGGTAGAACTGTGTCCCTGTCTCTCTAATACATCGAGGTCTGGCTGTAATCATGTCCCAAACTCCTCTCTCCCAGCGTCCTGCAAGCCGTTGCACCATAATGTCCCTGTCAGATGGAATTAAAGACTTTCCCAGCATCACATTATGTACATAGGGAGAGCACAGAGTGATACACTTATGCAACACTTAGCACAATAGCTGTGTGATTGAACTGTCCATAGAGGGTGTCATGTCCCCCTTGCCTCCATCCTTACCCAGCCTTTCCAAATTTAGGCAAGTTTAACAAATGTCATCAGTCGACCTGACCTCCTTTTACCCTCCTGCGATGCAGCAAGATGATGGCACTGTAGAAGTCCCCGATACAGCTCATAGCAGGTGTAGTAGAGGCTGATTAAAGGCGTGCTGCTCTCAGGGCGGAGGTGGAGACAGGAGAGGCTGACAGTGACAGCATGATCGTCTGTCCAGCTGCGAATGACTGCAGTGCTGATTTACTCAACTCTCCCCGTTTTAAAGTTCATGATAGGAGATGTCTCCTGGTGGTTTGGGGGCAGCTTGTAGGCCTCTGATTTGGCCATGTATATCACAGGATACAAGTTCTACATCCTGACAAGAAAAAGTCTCATCAGTATGTTTACATTTTACGGCATAATAATGATGGCATGTTCATGTTCCTTTACTGGATAGGACAGATGAAGAGAGACAGGAAATGTTGGGAGGGGAGAATGGGGGACGACATGCAGCAAATGGCAGGGATGTATTTGAAGCCACGGCTGTGCAATGAGGACTATAGCCTTTTTACATGGGACACACACTATAACCGCTACGCTAGGCTATTTGATGCCGAAGCTTTTAAAGGACTGGACTATGACAGCGATACGGGATAAAAGTATACTATAGCTATTATAGTTGGGGACCACAACATGTCCATATCAAATGTTGTGAAAATCCATCCAGTGTTTGAGATTTAAAAAAAAAAAATGCAAGAATGTTACCCATCATCTGTTATAGAAGATATAATTTGAGAACCATCTGCATGTCCATTAATAAGGTGTCAAAACAGTTCTCATAAACAGTTAAATCTTTTAACACTGGTACCTTGACAAGACAAGCATAAGGATCAAAAATGTCAGTATGATGTGTCCTTAAGCATCCTTTAACGTATTTTGTTGACAAATGGCATTCCATTAAGTACTTCATTCTGGAACAAAGTGAACCCACTGACAAATCGCCATATCTAGCCACAAAAGCAAAACTGTGCTCACACATTTGCACAAATGGTGACCTTGCAGAGGCAGTAGATGTGTGCAGTTCTCCAACATTCCTTGTGTTTCAAGTGCTTTGTCGTGCATGATGTATCAGACCACTAGCATGAAATATGCATGACAGCAACGCTTTATTCCATGTCATCGAATACAGCTTATTACATCACTTGTCGTCTCCTTCCTGTCATAGAAAAAGCGACATACCGACCAACAAACCGGCACTGCTATCCCTAGAGACATGCTGCTAGTATGACTAACCAACAGCTTCCATACTGTGAGCTTCATGAAACAGCATTAATTCTAATCACAAGACTTTAATTTGACTGATTATCTCTCCATGCAGCTGTGCAGATGAGGAAATGAGATGTATTTAATGTATTTAATTATTTCACTACGGTTGAATGGAATATAAAGCTTAACACACAGTTAACCTGAGTTAGCCGTTTGCCAAACACAAGACCATCCATCCAAGGATTAAATGGTTACCCTCCCTGCAAGCAAATGCAAACAGGCTACTAATGAGGATGGGATATAAGGGTTTATGAAGGATAGACTGCCATACTATATTTGTGTTTATGTGTTTCTGTTGTTTTGTGCATAAGCATGTGTTTGTTGTATGTGTACTACGTTTCCTGCTAATGCACTAAAAGCCTGCAGGTGCTGTCCAGCTTTGCCGCGTGCTCATCAGTTAAATGGCACACAGAATGAATAAGCCTTAATTGACCAGATATCCTTCATTACACATGTGCTTACAAATGCATCTGCTCTCCTTGGAGCCGTTCTCAGAGGCACAAGCTCATGACAGGCAGCAAGGCTTCATGGGGCATAAACATCCCAGACATGGAACAGCTTTTTAGATGAGCCATTTGTATATTTGCTCCCATGTGGAAAGCTCATCTGTTGTCACATTTTATTTTTAATACAACTAGTAGGAGAGTAGATAGGAAAGGACAGTGGTCTGGCATTGGCAACAATGTTTGATTCACTGGGCCAGAAGAGATTTGCTTATATTCAAATGTCAAGACCACAGTTTCTTGAGCATGTGCATAATAATTGGCGATTTTTGTATTAAGTACTTTAATATCTTTCTCTACAGGAACATTTTGAAGCAGGCAAGCTGTCGCCCTCTTGGACCTGAGGATGTTTCGAAAGAAGAAAAAGAAGAGGCCTGAAATATCAGCGCCCAAGAACTTTGAGCACCGCGTCCACACTTCATTCGACGCCAAGCGGGGCTGCTTTGTGGGCCTGCCGACCCAATGGCAAAGCTTGATAGAAAACCTGCGCAGGCCCAGGCCCATGGTGGACCCTTCCAGGATCACAGAGGTGGAGCTGAGGCCAAAGAAGGTACATCAAACCATCCTTTTATTGATCCTCTGACCTTAACTTGAACCGATCACTAATTAGTTGTAGGCACTTCGGCCAGCTCTCAGAATGAGTCGTCATTCTGAAAGTTTTGCTTTGTAATCTCGGAGAGGCTTTTGCATAAAGATACGCTGCTGCTCATATTGACGCAGAGGGATCCTGCTGTCTCAGAAAATGCCATAATCCTCTGATGACGGTGCAGTAGGAAGGCAGACACTCCTCCCCATCTTTTTGCATCCTTGTCTGTCCTGGGGCTGGGCTAATGACCCTGCTGTGTACACCGACACTACAATGTTGAATACTCCGAGGGCCGCAAGATTTATTACACCACACAGGCAATTAATAACTGTCCATGGTGCCTTTCCACAGATGTCAAGCAGAAAGGGATAAAAAGTGCAGGTACAGCAGAGGAAAAGCCAGTGAATGATAAAGGCTGCAGATCTAAGGCATTCTACGCTTCATGGATCTTAATGTCGATGCTGTTTGTGACCCTATGGAAAATAAAGTCAACATTGTGCTTTCAGTAGCATCACAAAGAACCTCACAATATTCAAATACTGTGCCCCCAATTTTGACAGGTAAAAGGGAGAATGATGTGTGATATCAGATACAAGTTATATTTAAATTTCAAACAATTGTGAGTGTCTCATGAAATAGAAAATCTCACCAGGGCCATTATCACCTGCCATTCCTCTCTCTTTGAGAGGTGCTACTTCAGGTGAGATGTCACCTGACCTCTTCCCCCCCCCCCCCCCATGCAGAAGTAATGGCACCAAACAAGAGAAACAGGAGAGGCTGTTGACTGACTGTGAACTAAACATGACTCCACCCTGAGAGTTCCTAATGAGACACCATGCTCTCTCTCTTATAGCTGCAGCTGCAACGGTAACACAATTCTGGCAGAAGATCTTAACTTGGATCATTTTCTGTTAGAACAAGTCTAGGCCGTCTATTTGCATGCCTCCTGGTTATGCAAAATAATCTACTAAAGTTTATAGAAGCTGTAACCTTTTATATCCGAATCTTGCCGCATTGGAACAGTTGTAAAGACGTGATACTCTCAAACCATTTCTTCATATATTTGTATTGTCAGCAAAAGCCACTGGGGAGATGATTTAAGTTGCCGTCTTTGAAGAATGACAAAGATGTCCTTTACAGATTCTCAAGTCTAAATTTAACTTGCCTCTGAGCAATGATTATGTCAGCCTCATTATTCCTTTCAGCTCAGACTCTTTCTATAATGTGATCATGGCGTGCACAATGTGATAAAGATAAACGCTTCTTCTCTTTCAGACCATTGTGCGTGGGAGCATGATCGGTCACGGGGACTACATCGCAGCCATGATCAACGATATGAGCCGTCTGTCTGTGACCAGCTCCAACTCTTTGAGGAAGAGCAGCCCCTCGGCCAGGAAGAGGGCCCAGTCCCTCGGACGACTGGGGGAGGTGAATGAGGGAGATCCTTACCAGTACGAGGGCCTGACCCAGGATGATGATGAGGACGACGATGCGTGTGACGACCCCTGGAGGGAAAGAGCCAGGAACATCCACAGTGAGACCAACACTCCTTACCTGGGCATGAAAAAGAGCATTACTCTTCAACCCAATGGGATCCTACCAAAGGCCAAGTCCACATACGAAGTGAGCGTCAGCTCGGTGGAGGGATTCTCGCATCCAGCTCAGTCACAGAACATCCCGATGCTGAGTCAAGGGGCTTACATGAGTGGAGAGGTGGGCAGCCCTCAAGAGAGAGTGATATGGAAGAGAGACTTCCAGCTGCCCAGGGGAATGCCACCTAGTCAGAGACCTATAGCTTGTTTTTACAGCCCTGCTATGACTGTTCAGCCGCCCCATGGAGACCAAGGGATGGTCACCACGGAGCTCCGGCCAAACCCTCCTATGTACATGCACCCTCAGAACAGCCCAGGGAGGCCATTTTCCTCCTATGACCTAAAAGTAAGCATGACATTACAGTATATTCTTTGCATGTCTTTGTGGATAATAAGTGTATACTTGATTATATATTATTCACAGATAAACCATGTATGAATATTTCTGCTGAAGTCACAGAGACAGTATTCTTTTTTGCGGCATGTTTTTGCAGTGCTTTAATTCTATCCATTAAATACAGGTTTGAGTGGATCATTATCATGCTTAGCTTTTGGAAACTTAAGCACAGTAGCATATTGATTTGCCTTAAACTAAAGGTGATTAAAGTTCTCGGGTTGAATATTTTTTTAATTCCAGTATTGAATTATGGAATGTGGGTTTAAAGTCTTAGTGGGGTTGTAAAGTTGAGATATGGTGTGTTTGGCAAGTTCCCAGCAGGACACTTGGGGTCTGTAAAGCAACATCCTCATGTGGGTCCTATCAGGTGAAGTGGATGCACAATGAGAGTAGAGGACTAGATTTACATTCACTTTTAAAGCAGGTCTTAGACCCCAGGCAGACAGCCAATTCTGTTTGAGCTTTTTCTCTTAATGTCTCTCACTCTTGTCCTCTCATCCTGCAGGCAGAGTCAGCAGTGAGGTACCACTCAGGCTTCCTCCCCACTGGAAACAGCAGTCCTCTTGTCGGCGGCATTAGACCCCAGCGGGCTGTTCGCTCATCGGCTAGCTACACGCTGGGCCTTTCTCCTAACATTGGACTGAGGCCAAATGGACCTGAGCCCTTCCTCAGACACTCTGGATGCCCCAACCCTCCTTACCCCCACCAAGACAGCCCCTCACAACCCCGACCCTCCCCAACAGGTTCACTAGCCACCAGTCCTCCAGGAACCTGCTCCCCTGCCTTCAGACCTCCACAACATCCTTCACCAAGACCTCCACCAGACCCACCCAAGGTGACCCACGAGCAGTTTAAGGCGGCCCTGCAGATGGTTGTAGACAAAGGGGATCCTCGGTCATACCTGGAGAATTTTGTGAAGATTGGGGAGGGCTCGACAGGTGTGGTGTGTATCGCTACAGAGAAGCACAGTGGCCGGCAGGTAGCAGTGAAGATGATGGACTTGAGGCGACAGCAGAGGAGAGAATTGCTCTTTAATGAGGTACAGTATCCAGCAAGGTACTTGCTTAAGTAACCTAGTCACAATGGGCCTCAATATCAATATCTTCTAAAAATGTTCTGAAATTTGTTCTTAAGAAATTTCCTGAGAAAAACCTACGTCAAAATTCATGACGTGCACCTGTGTTCTAAAACTGATGAATTTCCACGTAAACTAGAAGCTCGTGCATGTTTTTTCCTAAATAGCACAGAAAAATAAGCACCTTTTATGCCCATATAAGGGCACGAGACTGCAGGGCTGTGTGCACATGGCACACGCACAGAAGATGCAATGGATTAAATAGAGAAGTCGAGAGACGTAGGGAATGGTACATTTATAAAAATTCAAACAGTTGCTGCTTGAACTGATAACAGGCTGATTAAATGACAAGATATTCATTAGTTACGTCAGCAGTGGATACAAAATATATTACAAACAAACACTTCATCAGATTGTGTTACTAGTTCAGACAGCGCTATCATCAGAAGCAATGTACATCACAGTTTAATCAGAAAAGGCACACACAAGATGAAGTAAAAAACAGTTCAATCTGGGGGAAATAACTGGAAACCGAAGAGAGATAAGTCCATATCTCATACTTTTTCAAATTTTGCTATTTGACAGTACATTATTCTAAAATGTATCTTTTAGCCTAAATATCTGTGTGAAATACGCTGTCATTGTTGTGAAGCGTTTTATTTCATGCTTAATATTAGATTCTAGATTTGTATTCATAATTTAACATTTTGCAGTTTAGATCAAACATTGCATGTCAACATGTCATTTTGCCCTGCCAAAGCAGCACTCAAATGTGCATGAGAGTGCTCTCAAGTGTTCTTACATTTTGTTCTTATCTAGACAAATACCAGATCATAAAACTTTGGTGCGTAAGTGGGGATAATTTGTTCTTAAGAACTTACCAAATGAATCTTAGGTAACGTAAAAAAGAATTCAGACTTTTCTTTGCACTCTGTACTGAAAAAAAGTTCCAATATTTCTTTGAACCTTGCGTACTGTCCTTCAGTATGGCTTCTGTGCCTTGTTGCTTACTTCACAGCACCCACCACCATATCTATTGAGATTCCGCAAAACTATGACTAGCAGTATTTAGCCAAGCTATGGAAGCCTACAGATTTCTATTTTTAATTTAATTTGAATATTTATTGATTTTTGTTTCGTATACAAGAAAGTATCGTGACTGTTAACTTATGAATATGTTACCACCTGCAGGATGGACAAAGAAAAACAAAGACTAGACACAATAGAAATATGCATGTGCTATCATGCACGTTTCACCAAAAATAAGTGTTATTTCTGTCATTCACTGAACATGTGTGTATGTTTTGCCTCTCAGTTCTCACACAATTACCAACATGGTTTTTGTGAACCAGTTTTTAAAACTTTTCATTTAAGATGCAACCGAACTCCATGAATTAGTAGTGGTGTGTTGTGTTTCACATACTGTATGTTTGAACCATTATCCTGTTGTAATTTCTATATTAAGTTCCTTCTCCTACTTAATCCTTAATGCCTTAATGTACAGAGGAGGATACTTTACAGTGCCTTTAAATGCAGCAGAGCGCTATGAAGTCTAATCATTACATGTCTTTATCATTATGGCCAACAGTTCATTTATGTTTTTTAAGCTTTGTTTGCCATACTTATTTAATGTTTGGGTTTGTCTCAGCAGCAATCTCCCCCGGATTGACTTTCCTTAGAGAGCAGTATTATAAACACAGAATATCAGGCTCATACATGTAAACATGCTGATGGGCTTAGATGAATTAGCAGGATGGTTCAGTGAGCCGCAAGTTGACCTAGATGTAGACCTGTAATGTGGCTAGCCTTAGTGTACTCTCCTTTTGGCTACACTCTGTGTGTAAACTATCAGTTAAACTTTTAATGTTTTATTTTATTTCTGTGGCTTTTTTGAATGGCAGAAGAGGCCCCCCCTCTTTGTTGCCGTGTTCCTGTATGCCTAGACATATCTTAAACAGAGGATTAGAAAGTTAGCATGGTACATTGAGTCATAATAGCTACATTCATGTGCCTACATGAAGGCATTAAATGAAAATGATGTGAGAATAACTCATCATAGTTGTCTCAGATGTATTCGGGAGACCCTCAGAGTCGTGTGTTTACTTGACAGGAAAAATTAAGAAACATACTATTAAGTAGGGTAAGAATAGATTGATCAAAACTGAGGAGTAAACTTTATAATGCTTTTACCAATTCAGCACCTTTTATGATAAGGGCTACTCTAAACTGCTTGAGCAGCCCTTTAATTTTGGAGAACCAAACGTGGCCTCACAAGGGCTTATGTCAGGACAGGTTTTGGTTGTAATGAGAATGTTTGTGCTGCAGGTGGTCATCATGAGGGACTATCAGCACAGGAACGTGGTGGAGATGTTTAAGTCAGCCCTGGTGGAGGAGGAGCTGTGGGTTATCATGGAGTACCTGCAGGGAGGAGCACTGACCAACATAGTGTCTGAAACCAGGTACGAAAAACACCAAAAGATCCACTTCATTTCTTTTGAGAAAGCTTCATTGGTGAGTCAGTTTGGTTATGATATCATATTTGATAACTAAATCAACCACAAGGGGGTAGTGTGGTATTGACTGCCAAGTGATTGGTGTGGAGAGCAGCTGCACAAGGCTGACAAAGACTCCCATTCTGCTCTGTTTCACTCCAGGCCTGCTGCTTTTCTCCGTAGCAAATCAATAATTCAATGAAATGACTACTTGTGTGCATGTTTACATGCAATGTGGAGTGTCTAATTTTGGTAGAAAGCTTTATTTTCTGATAATGTCACATGGCATAAATCAAATTAAACAAAAAAACTGCACCAGCAGCTGGGAGTTCAGTTTGTCAGGTTGTTTTTCTTTTTAGCTATCGTTGTATTTTATGTTATTAACAGATGGCTGGCCCGATCCTAAAAGCATGACCTCGGAGGTTTGATCTCTTGACTCAAAGGAAGGACATTTTTTCTCTAAAGCCAGATGACATGTTCAATGAGACAGCTGTCACGGCCACTGTCAGGCAGATCTTCATTATGTTGATAGTGTAACAATGAATAGGAGTCCTTTTGTTATTCAGTTTTGCCTGGCTGCAGTCTGGTGTCCAATCCATTTTTTCTCTCCTTCAAATCACTTTAAATTAAGGAGCAGAGAAAGTGTCTGAATTTATGAAGGACCTTTTCCTTATAAAATGTTAGATATGTGAATTGAATGGAATGAAAATCATGTTTGGGGCGAATAAAGCACTCATTCGGGTTATTCTTACATTGTATTTTCGATATTTTCAGTGGAAAACTAACATTGCCTGTTGTTTTTAAAGGGCCTTTTGTTTCTTTTTTTATTTAGCAATTGTAAATGATCAATGTCACATTAGGGATTGAGGGGGAATGAACCTGCAGTGTTATTCTGCCGTGTGGGAGTTGTTGTTTTGAACCCTGCTCCCTTTATCATTGCCTTCAATGTGCAATGATTCATGGACTTGAACTCATTCTCTGTCTCTGATTCATTTTAATATGTAATTGAAAAGTTTGAAAAGAAAGTTAATCTAAAATATTTGTGTGTGTGTGTGTGTGTGTGTGTGTGTGTGTGTGTGTGTGTGTGTGCGCACGTTATCCTGCAGGCTGAGTGAAGAGCAGATTGCCACAGTCTGTGAAGCTGTTCTCCAGGCCCTGGCCTATCTTCATTCACAGGGAGTCATCCACAGAGACATCAAGAGTGACTCCATATTACTCACATTAGATGGAAGGGTGGGTTATTGCTGTTTTTTCCCCCTCTCTCTCCTTTTTCTTTTGATTGTTTACAGTCTTAATGTAGAGTGTTTCTCTTTCCCTCTCCTCAGGTGAAGCTTTCAGATTTTGGCTTCTGTGCTCAGATCAGCAAGGACATCCCAAAGAGGAAGTCCTTAGTGGGGACACCTTATTGGATGGCTCCTGAGGTCATCTCCAAATCACCATATGGCACTGAGGTGAGCAGGCACACGTTCAAAGTCCCCCTCATGCGGACTAATGGTGGTGATCTCTCTCATGTAGCGTAAATGCCAACATAAGTGATCTGTTCCATGGAGCTGTTACATCATTTTGAATGTGTTGTGGTGCACCAGGTGGATGTTTGGTCGATGGGTATCATGGTGGTGGAGATGGTGGATGGAGAGCCCCCGTACTTCAGTGAAACACCTGTAGCAGCCATGAAGAGACTGAGGGATGAGCCAGCTCCAACTGTACGAAATGTCACCCAGGTACGAGATCAGAAAAGACATTTTCCCTTAATCACAGTGTGCTCTTCTTCATCATATTGTAAAGGAAAATGCGCCTGACCAACACAACCATGAAATAATATTATGACCTCAAGAGAATGAGCAACACGTTTTTTTCACCAAAATAGTGAGCAAAAAAACAAGAGACAATATAATTAATAGGATCCCTTCATTTTTTAAAGTACTTAGATTAACATTACCAATAAGGATAGCCATCAGTATTAAAAACTCTAAGGTAGAGTGTATTTAGAGCTTTTTGTGTTTTTTTTTTTCACTAGAGTAATATATTCCCATTAACGATTTGTTATGCCACTTTGTTTGAGTTTGTTGGGAACTAATTTTCCAAAAGAAAATTTTGTGTCATTTATTTTTTATTTTTTACAAACATTATATTCAGAATATCTCTTATTTGGGCAATAATACATATTTTACCCTGCAAACTCATAGTATCAACTTCCATTCAAAAATCAAATATTATGTTTAACAGTATAGGTTGAATTAATATTGGGTAACGAATGCCAATTTTAGGATTTGATTTATAACCTTTTGACAATAAGAAAAAGATTTAACTGGTTTTCCTGACTTCATTACAAAATGAAATCATCATTATTGATCATATTATGGTGTTTGTTGGTATTGTAATTTTGTATATTGTTTCCTGGATACTCAAATATAATGCAATCTTCTATAAAGGAATATATTCTCTTTTAAAACGCATGAAGCATTTTAGCCATGTGAGCATCTTTTCATCTGTTCACCCTCTGAAAAAATATTAGTCATCTCCTGAGTTTTCCACAAGTAAATCATCCAGCATTTGAAATTAGGGTAAAATTATCTTGTGATCTTGACATTACTATGATTCAACTTTATTTACCAAAATCTGATATAACCCTTGCATTTTTCATTCTGAATGATTAGCAGGTTGCTGTTAGCCTTATGCTGTTTCCAAGCATAAACTTAAAGAGCTGCTAGCATGGCTGTGGGCTGTTATTTATTCTCAAAATGTAACTGACACATTCATTTTAAAACCTGATATACAGTATTAAATCAATCTCATCATTACAGAGGTATTGTCACTTTGAATTTAGCAAACAAATGTTTCTTTTATATATTCCTCTGCATATAGTTGCAGTTTTAAACTTAAAAATAATTGTAATAAATGTAGCTTTTGATTTCTGGTCCAGATCTCCCCAGTTCTTAAAGACTTCCTGGATCGTATGCTGACTCGGGACCCTCTTGACCGGGCTAGCGCCACTGACCTGCTGGAGCACCCATTTCTGCTGCAGAGCGGCTCACCTCAGTGTCTTGTCCCACTGGTGGAGCAGTACCGCAAGCGCATGTCCCGTTGCTGACCCTCTGGGGGCTTTGTCTCACCAACACCTACTTTCAGTCTGACCTGCCCAGGCCTCTGAACCAGAACCAGCACCTGGGCCAAACTCCTCTAGCACCCAAGGAAACGGGGTGATCAGCACCAGAGAAGCAGACCCAGACATCATGTTGCTGTTGGAGTGATGATGGCAGGACAGCAAGTTTGGTTAACACGCAGCGCAGCCGCATGGTCTCGGGCATGAGAGAAGCACTTTAGGAGTGAGTTAAAGGCAGCATGCAGTTCCTCACATCTTAACTCGGTTTGATCCGAATATCAATAAGCTTCCTGTTACATACAGTGTGATTCAACACAACACAGAATGGTGCAAATCCACTGAAAATCAATATTCCACATAACTACATGCACTACTCAAGTACTCATGTAGAAGTAGTTTTCATAGTGGCCATTTTTCTAGCCATTTGGAAGCATATACAGCTGTTGTTAGGACGAACCACAGTAGCTCATTGTGACATTATGATGGAAGGATAAAGTTACCTCTGCACACCCACAGTCCCTGCTGTGGAAATTGGACAACACCCTGGTCAGCACACTCCACAAACACTGACAGTCCACCCTTTGCATGGCCAAATGGAGGCACACCTGGCCTGATGTGAATGCTTGAATATGAACCAAACTGGGATGTGAAAGACAATTCTCCTTTATTAGCATAATAAATGGGTAGATGAAAGCCCAGCTGCTACTATTGGGCTATTGGAAAATCTCCAGTAGAATATTCCTCTTTTTCATATTTATTCTTTATTTCCTAAAGGTGTTGTTGTCGGTTGTTTATATGATGTGAAGTTGCAAATAAGGTTTCATTATCATGTATGGACTTGAAACATACACACAGATAAATTAATAATGTAAATAAAATAGTGAATATTAGGTCTTATTCCTGCTGATTTACTGCAGGAAATTAGAGATGAATGGAAAATTTTACTTTTCTTAACTAAAATGTGAGTGTAGTCTGATACAGCCCCTCTTTGTATTGTGACAGACTTTTTAAGAACCACAAGGTGTGTGTGTGTGTGTGTGTGTGTGTGTGTGTGCAAGCATCCTGCGTGTGTGTATGTGTATGTGTGTGTGTGTGTGTGTGTGTGCGTGTGTGTGTGTGTGTGTATGTAGTTGCATTTGTTTGCCTAGAGAAAGCACACAGGCCTGGCATGTGATGCTGCAGGACGTCCACCTGCTGAAAAACACTTTGCACATAGTCTTTGTATTCTGACACAGATACATGCTGACATGTTTCATGTATTTCTATCTCTGTGTGGATCATTCATGGAAAAGAGAATTACACATTTTAATTTTGTATAAATCAATAAATGATGCATAATAAATTGGATTTTTTCTGATCCTGCACTTTCCTCATTCACACCCACATACTTACGCATGCATGTATTCAAGATTGAATGGGTTGGTGTTTTAAATGATTTATTAGGTAATCAGCATAAATCATACAGTGCACAATGAACATATTTAAGCAAAATACAAACATTTTTTTCTTATAAATACATAAGCATATCAAATACAGTCCGATCCATACAATATAAATCTTTTGTTGGTGAAACAATGTTATTTATTTTAGAAGCTCACAGATGAATATTTTTTTATTATTACATTATTTAAATATAGAATAGCAAAAATGTTATAGATTGAAACAATTTAGCTTTATATTCCTATTTTGTTATTGATAAACATAGTCAAATCGGATAAACTGCAACACAAGTAGAAGCTTTATGAATAGACTATGTCACCAAGCAATCAGACTGCATTGTGAGATTTCTAAGTGCTGTAATCATTTCCCTACCAGCCTTTTCTGTCGCCTGTAATTGTCCTTTTTCTATCCGAGGGTAGACTGAGACGAGCAGCTTTCAAACTCACATTTCACTCCACTGATGCTGTCGACGCTTGGCTGGCTGTTGACCTGCTGATGTGTGTGAGAGCAGGGGAAGGTCTCAGAGCGGGACATCCGCCCTCGGCCGTTTGAGGAGCTGGATGAACAGTCTATCACCATCCTCATGAACTCCGGAGCGGTGAATCGACGCAGCAGTCGTGTCCCGAGGCCCACGAACCCCGGGCCACTACTCGCGATCTTCCCAGATTCCATCTCCCCTCGGGCAAACAGCAGCTTGTTGTGTCTGCTGCTCAGGCCGAAGCTTCCCCTCTTCTGCTGCTCTCTTCTGTTTGATGAAGCCGTGTCACTTGCCTCGTCTTTCTCTGATTGGATATCCTCCTCCAGCGCTCTCCCTGGTTGACTTTTGCCGTTTAAAAGAGGTTTTGGCACTGGGACAGTTTTGTCAGCATCATTTGTCATGCCACGGGTGTTTCCTTGACATTCAATCTTGTCTATCAGGCATCTCTCATCCTGTAGTGAGGCTCTCTTTAATTTGCTGGCTGACAGGCTGATGTCGCACACATCACCCTGATAGGACTGCTTTCTGCTGCTCAGAACGTCCAGGTTAAATGACTTCGCTTTTCCCCAATGAGGAAAACTCACCGGTGTTTGCTTTTGGAGTCCAGTGTCTCTGCTGACATCTCTCTGGCTTGGCTCAGGCAAAGAGTTCAGCATTTTGGCCCCTCTTAGCTCTCTAAGCGTGCAGTTTTGCAGTTGTTTGGCAGTGAAGAGATCCCCCTCGATCTGGCTTTTTTCTATCTGAGGAGGCATAGCCCTGCTGCTCGGATGGTTCTCCTCTTGAGACTGGCTCCTTGGACACCTGAAGCGGTTCCACAGTCCGCTACTGTCTCCAATCTTCAGCTGTCTGGGAACTACCTCAGGCAGTTGGTCTTCGTTGGTATTCAACTTTTTTGAAAACCTCTCCAGAAGATACCGGGGGAGCCTGTTGGGCAGCCGGGTGTCTCCATCACCAGTGGTAGCGGAATCAGGGAGTGGATCATCTGTGCAAACACTCCTCCTGCAGGGAAAGTTCAGAATCTGCACGCAATGGTTGTGTCCAAAGAAGTTGGCTACCTCGATAGCAGAGTGACCGGCATTATTTGTTCTGTCCAGCCTCAGTCCCAGTCTTTTGAATGCTCGGACCAGGAACTCCAGGACCTGGCTGTGACCAGAAAAGGCGGCATACATCAGAGGGCTGTTACCCCAGGCATCAAAGGTGTCTGGGTCGGCGTTGAACTGCACAAGAAGCTTCACAACATCCAGGTGACCCATCTCACAGGCATGGCTCAGGGCGGTGCGACCATCCACATCCTGGCAGTTCACATCGGCTCCTTTCTCCAGCAATAGTCGGGTGAACTTGGACCTGGTCCCTGGATCTTGTAGGCAGACGGCATACATGAGCGGGGTGCGGCTGTTTTCTGTCTTAGAGTTGATGATGCGTCCGTCCAAGGCATCAAGGATGAAGCGTGCCAGGTGAACTTTGCCACCATGCATGGCATCCAGGAAAGTCTTAGTGCCAGAGCCCTGGCGTAAATCTTTCGGTCGCATCATTCTTAAAAAGCCACTTGTTGAGCTTACCCAATAAACACAGAAGCACTGTGATAAAAAGAGAGAGAAAGTGTGTGACAAGTTCTCTAAAGGTTCTCCGTGTTTACAGCGACTGCATTCAACTCGGAGTAAGACTCAGTGAGGAGCTGCCAGGGTTTTTATACCTCCCTCTCCACATGCCCTCCCCATGTTGCCAAGGAAACAAACGTCTGAGGACCATTATGCGGTGGCAGCATCCATTCAGCCCGAGCCCTCTCTGCCTGGAGAGAAATATATGCTATTTGAACAGAATAATTACTCCAGGAGAAAAACATGGCCAGTGTTTTTTATGAAGGTCTGAGGGGTTAACTACAAGTCAGTATTTTGTGAAATCAGTGAATGGTGAATTATGTTGTTCTGTTTTAGTAAATACTGTTTTCAGGACTATTACCTATAAAGTTTGAAATATGAAATCGGACTTTAGAGCTCTTTTAAATAAAAGAGGGTAAATGAATAGGACTGAATTGCATTTTCCCTCCAAAATCTATTTTAAATAATGTATTCAACAATCCAGCCATCCACTCTATAATTCTGCTTCATCCACAATTATAATACAGTGCATCAAGTTCAAACTGTTCCCCTTTATTGTGCTATGACTTTCTCAAAATAATGACTTTGTCTGAGGGTCTTTTTATTTATGGAAAAAAAAGTATATCAAATGTGAAAGGGCAGTAAAAGCTTTGTGTTGTTAGCTTATTTGATAAAATAAATAAAGCAGTGTCTATCTGGGATACAACTAATTGTCCTTAAATCAAGCAAAGGCACTGAATTGTTTCATGAAAATATCTGCATGATTAACTTTTTCTTTCCAATGCAAGATTCAAAATAAATGTCAAATGTCCTTATGAACATGGCAGGGGCCAACAGGGGCCAATGCCCCTGTAACAATGAGCTTGGTCCCCCCTGTGGCCCCCCCTCCAAAAGGAAGAGCCCCCCTCATAACACATACACAGTATTTGACTCAACCGGACTCATAATCTAGCATTAAATACTGTTACTGAAACAAATATAAATCATGGTATTTTATGTTGTGGTATTTAATGATGTGCGCTATTATTTGGCATAATATATAGATATTTTTTAAAGTGATCATCTTTGTCTATTTTTCTCCTGGGTTAAATGTTCCCCTCTGACAAAACAACTGGCCACAGTTTGGCCCCCTCAGTAAAAGTGGTCTAGAACCACCACTGCTTACAATTGGAAGGCTGGCTGTTAACGTCATGAACTATTATAGTGTAGTGGTATTGGAGTGTGTCTATCTCAAGCCTCTATATTAACTCGATGCTGAGCCACCACCGTTGGACTGTGTCGTTCCCACAACCACGTCGTCCTTACTCATGTACATCCTGCTCCGACCTCCACCTCAGCGGCAAGGAAGTGTGGCAACAGGAACACGAGGAATACAAAGGAGAAATCCTTCCTACATATTATCCCATAAGCTCTTTTGTAAAGCGTCTCAAGATAAAGCTTGTTATGAATTGGCACTATAAAAAGAATGATTAATTGATTGGTTGATTGATTGGTTGATTGATTGATTGATTGATTGATTGATTGATTGATTAAAATTAAAATGTCTACTATTGTCTTAAAATGTCTACAATTGTATTTTTGGTATTAACTAAACTGACAACTATTAGCATCAAAGGGGCCACATTTAAACCCTTGTCTCAGCATCTTTATCAAAGGCTCATTTATTAAAAGAAAAAAGGACCCTTTACGCAGCTGTTCCTCCTCCACAAGACCAGACTTTAATTTCAATTGCTAATATAAATCTCAGCAGGAACCAAACTGTGCCTAACAGCGTTGGTGAGAGAAACATTGCCGGGGTTCTACCTTCCTATCTCTTCACCATCCGGCTTCATCAAACCCTCAGCGGGTCCTTTATACAGCAGTGAGAGCAATTCACTGATCTAAACATGGCTGTAATTCATCAGCAGAACAACACTTACTCCTGGGTGTGTTTCAGTGGATGGAGGCCTTTCTTTTTATACAGATGTATCATTTTCATCTTTAAGTCACATTGGGACATCTCTCTTATTACAATACAGTATAATGGCCACATGGGTTTTGAGTTAGGATAGTAGACAGAGTAAGAAATACGGTGAGACTGGTGATGCTGGAAACCAGCTGCAGGTCGGACTATAGCCACAGAATATATATATATGCCATATATATATATTAGAATGTTAGCTTCAGGTGACACGTCCTCAGGATAGAAAGGATGACATTAAAAAAGTGCTGATAGAAGCAGACCTACAAGATTAATGAAACTTAAAGCTCTGTATTTGATGAAACAAGTTTAAAAGCCATGCTATTATCTCCATGAGGCTGTAAAAGGTTACTTTGAGGAAAATGCCAGCCTACCACTAATAGGCTAACATGCTAACATGTGGCAGCTTTAATAGCTTAATGCTTCACCTCTTTAGCATTTTAGCATGCTAACATTTGCTGGCTAGTAGACCTACTGCTCAGGCGAAAAAGATTAGCATTACAAGTCATAACTCAAAGTACTGGGACTGGGATGATGATGACAGTAAATTAAGGTTAAATGTCAATTCAGGTCTGACAACAATTTCATGTTAATCCATCCATTAGTTGTAAACTGTTTCACCCAATAAAAAATCATATTTTTTGCACTCTTAGACACTGTTACTGTACTTGTAATCTGAAATCACCGTCGTATACCTGGAATATTCTTGCAGTGATGGGATGTGAAAGAGGCATTATAGGCACTGCTGGAAGTGCACGAATGAAAAATGAATGGATTGTGACCTTGAATTGATGCCAATATATTATGTATGCTAGCTAAACTCACACTCCTACCACCAGTGCCTTTGACATACAAATGGACACATGGCTCAAATTCGGACACTGTTCTAACATTATCTAATGGCAGAAACAGAAGCAACTTTATGTTAATATTTTCCCTAAAACAAGAACTTAAAAATATGATGGAGAAATTACTCTTTTATTTGCCTGTCCTTGCATTAATATTGGTTACAATCACCCAGTAATGAATGTGAACAACTCCTTTTAATGATAGCTTGATAAAACAAACATCATGGAAAAGGTGAAGAAACCTAAGAAAAGAGAAAAAGAGAGCGAGATTGAGCAAGAGGTTGGACTAGAGGAAATCTACTGGCTTTCACTTGTTGGAAAGAGAGTTAATTGAGCTAGAGGCACACAAAAAAAAAAAAATACTTGCAAAGAACGATTGGACTAGATCTTTTTCAAGCCTTGTCTTTTAGATTTAAGCCGAGGAATACCTCCTGGTTTGATTATCCACTTTGAGATTTTGTAAGATGCTTTTAAGTGGGATTGAGCCTTTTCAGTATATATTTTGCCGTCATGCAGTAAGCCTAAATGAGTCTGGGCATCTTTCACTCACTAAGTCGTATCATATTCACTGTGGATCTTCTGTCTTGCCATTCTAATAGTTAACATTAATCGAACCTCTTGACCATTTGCTTTTACAAAGTTGCAACCGTAAGACCAAACAAGGTGTGTCCATTCTCTTCTCCAACTCTTAGAATCAAGACTTTTAAGACCACAATGAACACCACAGATTGGACGTGGTCCCTGTGTGGTTCTATGTGAAACATGTATGTTGATGAAGTGCCACATCACATATTTTTTACAGATCACCTTCTACATATGTTAACATACAGCATACCCTGCATACTGATGTGCCCATTTTGACGGCATAATTATTTGTCTGCACAGGAGGCCAGATAGGAGCAGATCAATGTACTTAAACACAATATTAAAATGACTCAAACTGTGTCAGCAGATATTCACAATGAAACTCCAACATCAGCTAAATACTGTGGTATCCCCTTATATATATTATATTAAGGCTACCTCTAAGATAAAACTTATAACAACATACATTTAGCGTTACACAGAGCTTCACAACACTTCTTGTCAGTTGCACTAGTGTGGATGCTGGAAGATTTTGGCTGCTTTTCTTAGGACGGTTCATACAAAAATAGACTCGAGCCTCCTGGACTGCATTCATCCACACACGTAGGCTATAATCTGTGCTTGGGTTGTTGAGTTTACTCAAGTTTTTTGGCTACTTCTGATTTTTTGTATTCAGGATCACACTTTCTGCTGATAGTTTTTTACACAGCAATGATCCTGGGTCGATCCTTTGTTGCTGTGGATGTGAGGTGTTGTAAGAGTCAAATGAAATTTACAGTGTATTGTAAAGTTGAACAATTACCTGAAAATAGTGTACAATGGCCTATTTTAGTATGGAAATTCTAGCTTCACTTTAAATAAATTAACTTTATGAATGTGTTTTCACATTTGAAATAAACTCCAATGTTCTCAACAGAGAATCGAAAAGGACCAAGTATTTTGAGTTGATTTTCTGTTTTATCTGTACAACACAAGTGTCAGTAATTGTATTATAATTTAGAATTATCTTTTGTGGACACTCAACAGTAAGTTTATAAGGTTTTTCTTAAAACTGTAATTTTAACATGGGGGACTAAATATCCACCTCCTATCTATCTCCTTTGCTTCATAACAGAAAAGCAAATGGTGAAGCAAAAACAATGATATGCACACAACCTCAACATCATTTCATAATTCCCTTTTGGACTTAAAAGAAAAGTAGAGCTGATAGAACAGCACTGTGTAAGGCTGTGTCCTACTTGCAGTGGCCTGAGTCCTTGAGTCAGCCACTATCTCTCCCTCGCCTATCTCTCCCTTGCCCACTGTCACTCTTTGTTCATACAATAGAAATCAAATTGACCTTAATAAGTATTTTTTTTAAGTACAATTAATTCTTAGATAAAAATAGAAAGCAGTGTATGATCTTGTCTGCTCCTTAATTGTGCTCCTTGGTATATGTATGTGTCCTCCCTGCACCAGCCATTGAGTCTGCTTCCATGCATGACATTAAAGCACTCTGCCCTCCATTCAGCCCATGTTAAAAATGGACTCAGCAGAGATGAATGAAATGTGGATGAAATGTTCAGAATGTGAATGAGTCGGTACCATGAGGGTTGCTAATTAGACAGATGTATGCAATAAAGCGGACATGTCATGCTAAATACGTGATCTCCCATTCATTGTGCTGCTGGCCAGGGCAGGAGCCA